TTTTATTATTTTTAATAAATAAACTTTTGAATACAATACTACTACAAAGTTTGTTGATTAAAAATGATTTAAATAATAAAATAGTTGTACTTTAAATTAAATATTTCTGTCTGTTTTATTCATATATGAATAAAATCGATTGATTGTTGTAATAAAGAATTTGAATTTTTATAAAAATATCTTAAAAATAACAAATAGAAAAACTGAAAACATCTTATTAAATATTGCTTAGATATCCAAGTTCTGTTTATTAATAATTTACATATAAATTATGAATACCCAGGAAATATCTTTCATTTATTATTTCTGTTATCTTTATGAACATTCTTATTTTCTTAACAATAAAATCGATTATGGTTTACTCTAAAAGAGTAAGTGCATTATATACATTGATCCTTAAATTTCTCGTTATAGTCAGTGTTAAGTCGTTCAGGAGTAAGTTGATGTTTTTAAGAACATGAAAAATTTTTCTCTTCTAAACCTTGTGGGTATACTCAAACTTTTACCTTACAGTAGTAATTCTTATTTAATAAAGCAATATTTTTCCAAAACCAATATACATATTTCCAAGGAGCTTATTAAGCTTAGTTTATTTTAAAAAATAGTATTAAAAAGCAATGAAAATGAAATGCATTTTATATACTAGTAATATGAAGGTAATATCTAATTTACGAGCATTACTCCAGTAACTTTTATATCTCCAGTTTTACAACCTAAACTTACTTTACTTATATATTGATCATGTTTATAAATTTTATCTTGTCGTTAACGAATTTTTATTGTAAATTATGATTACAGTAACCACACATAATGATTAAAAGGAAAGTTTATTTAATGGATTAAAAAAAAAAGTTAATTAATCCGTAATTCTATACTCACAGGAATATCAGTAGAATATGACTTTGCTATATCTCATAAAGACTGTTGTTTTTTGAAAACAAATATTTGTATGAATGAATATGATCGTTTAAAATAATATTTCTTTTAAAAATAAACCAAAAGAATTAGCAGTATTTCATTTCAGTCTTAAAAAAGTCAGAATAGTTTTCATTTATATTCTATATTAATGATCAATAAATGATCCTTCATCCTAATATCTCAAGTTAATCTAAATCATCTGAACATGAGTTATCGATATATATCATCTTTTTGTTTTTACAATATGTGTATTTAAACTCGAGATCAATACAGATTTTCTGCATTTAGATTGGATAAGTTAAAAGATTTATTTTTTATTTTGGTACAATAAAATTTAAAATGTATTTTCTAATTATTATTGAGTTTTCAAACATTAGATAAATAAATATGATATTCATAGCGTATGGTTGCTGAGGTGATTAAAAAAATATTCTTGCATTTTAGACATATACATATTCAGCATAAATATGCATACATAATATGTAATTTAGAAACTAAAAATTGGGTTAATACAGTGAAAGCACAATGAAATCATCTAGGGTAACTTAAGACTGCTCTTTAAATATGTTTTTGTTTTATTTTCGTGCATCAACATTTTCTCGCATAATGCTCTCTTTTTTGTACTTAGAAAACGACTTATATATGTATACACAAGTATTTTAGTAATTCAAAAGATAATTAAATTAGAAAAAAATCATTTTTAACAAGAAAATCATTTTTTTTTTTAGTCATTTCTACAAACAAGTTTTTTTTTTAATTTTATTAATTATTATATGAACTTGGATGTATTATAATGGAACTAAAAGGAAAGTTCATAGCAGAAATATGTCTAAATTGTGCATGGAATAAAAAAAAAACTTATTATCTGTAGATGGTTTAGAGCAACATGAAACTGAAGGTTACTCTAACCAACATCTTTTGTGACCCAAAAAAAAATTGCTTAATGTGATTTAGATGCTCTAGGTTAGATTGTGCTACATTATTTTACGTCTGAAAACATGCAGACTCATTCAGCATAACAATACACATATTAAAGATGTAGTTTTTCTTACAATAATCATGAACCATACGATGAAATATTTACTATGTGACTTCAAATATCTAGAGTTTGTAGGGTAGCTGAGATGAAGTAACATAGTAAGATACCGAAAAATTTATAAACTTGACAAATAAAATAGAGTAAGAATTTTTTTTATTCTAAAGAAGAAAAAATTTATTAAAAATATTTTCAGTAAATTTACGAATATCTGAGGACGATTTAAATATTTTGACAGTGACATGAATGTGAAAAGGAGAAAAAAAAAGAAAATATCAGTCAAATAAACATCAAAGTGTGAGTGATCGTAAAAATTATAGATAAAACAAGTAAAAATTGAAAAAAAAATGTTTAATAAGTCGGAATAAATAGAAATGACTTTGAAAATAATTTTAAAATTCAAATTAGCGGTTCAGAGGTATTTTTAGGGGAAAATTTAATCGAGTATTTGAAAAAGACACTTTCAGCTTTTCAATTACTGTAGAACCATCGTTTTTGAAATGTGTTATTTTAAATACGCTATCACGTGTTTTTGACCATTTACATACATCGAACGCACTTGAAAGCGTGGAAAAAAAATGATTGGAATGGATTTGGATTGGGAAAACAGAAAATAATGCATTTTAGTATGTCGACATAACATTCTTCAACTCACTTAATGTAAATTGACAGTGATGATGAGTCAACGATTAGTCATACGATTATTATATTTTTTTAACTTTTAATTAGAAATAAAATAACTGTTAGGGTGATTCCTAAGATAGCATCGATATGTTTATTATAATCTCAATAACTTTTTTTAAAATTAATTATTTCTTTTCATTAATTTAATTGAAACAAGAAAGCTTATTGAAAAATAAATCTTTATTTGTTATGATTGCAAAAGAATATTGTTGATAAGAAATATTATTTTTAAGTGCAAACTAGGGAATAAAAAAAAATGAATATTGAAGATAGCAAAATTTGTTTATAAAAGGGTTTAAGGTTACTCTCTTTGGATCTACAGTTACTCAAGATGACTATACCTGGCCAGAAAGGGATATAAATACAAAAAAAAATATATTTTTCACAAGCAAAAATAAAAAAAAAACACCTATCTACGATGGAAGTTTTTATCTAAGGTTCGTGTTTTATCATCAATAAATAATTGAGTATCACTTTAAGCATTTTTTTCCATCAACGTCTTTATTTATCCAATGCGTTGTTTTTTGTTTTTCTAAAAAAAAAAACTCTATTACTTTCAGACGTTACTTACATTAACCTCTGTTTTATATAAAGTAAGTAAATGCAAGTGTATGCAGCTGAGTAAGTGTGTGAATTACATTCATGTCAAACGTATTTCGTACGCTCTACTAACATAGGGTAACCAAACCAATAAATGAACGTCCACGAGCAGACGAACAAATCATTCATTAATTCTGATAAAAAAATTCCCTTTGCAAAAGAGAAACCATAAGTTATATAATAATATTTTTTTTACTTTAAATGCAATGTTCCCATTTAATTCAAATACTCTCTCAATTATTTTATCATGTTTGATTTTCTATATTGTTTTTTTTTTTTAACACATTTAGCTGGCATTTCGCGGTATGTTTCATTTTAACATTAAACAATTATTTGAAAATTGTTATTAATATTTTTTTTTTTGAATCTAAATAACGTCGTTTAACTGAAAAAAATCATTCCAAGTTAAATTAATTAACAATTAACTATTTTACTCTAAATTTATATAGAACCATTATTTTGTTGGTGCTATTTCTCTATGAATTTCAATTCTTTTAATGACTCTTGCAATTATCAAATCGATATTAATTATATCAAAAATGTTATATCCAATATTTAGACATTAGTAACAAATATTATCACAATATACAAATTACAAAATAACAAATAATTAACAATTAGATTCAAGCATTTTCAAATTTTCTGTTGTAATATAAAAACCTTTTGCCCGATAATAATTGATTGAATTATAAATGTTATGTTTATCAAAATATTTGTTTCAAAAGTCAACTATAAAAAATGGTCAAGATTTACATTTAATAACAAGCAAACCGAAAATAAACAACAGCGAATAAACAAATCAACTTTTTTTCCACATGTTTTACACATTTTTTTTTTTATTAAAAAAATTTTTTTATATAAGTCTCTACTATTTTTTTCAATTACAATACACCGATAGTGAAAAAAAAAGAATAAATCCAACTTACCTTTTAATCCCCATCCGAATTCATTTCCCAAATTCTATATCTCATTGTAACTGAATTAGGGCAAATAAGCTAATGAAGAAATATTTTTTTCCCAAAAAAAAACATTTCATTCATATAAAGCGATAATACCAGTACTCTTCAAAATAATTTATCACGTCGCGAAAGCTTTTAAAAAATATTTGACAATTTTTCCATTAATTTACAACATAATTTTCATTTTTATTTATATTTATTAAACCAACAAATCTCTAGTAAATTGTCTCATTTGACCTCTATTTTACTCCATATATTACTCTTAACTATTCATTATCTATTGGTCTGTTTACCCTAATCAACCATTGTCTGCAACTTAACTCTGCTCACTTAATAAGCTTACTAATTAATTAAATTAAATCCTCATTAATGATTAAACATCTCTCTTACATATTTATCTCATTCCGGTTTCAACAATAAAAAACAAAAGATCTTCACTGTGGATGCAAAAAAAGAGAGAGAAAGAGAGAGAGGAAAAACATTTATTTTAATTGGCAATCCACTTGGCATAACTAAATTGCGGATACCAACAATACAACAATAATAAAAATAGCAATATCTTTTTTATAAGAATATTCTATTATTCTCCGATTATCCTTTTTATTTTTCGAGATCATAAATGTATAACCGGTGCACAATGTAACTGTAGTCGTTGTTTTACTTACACCATGGCATCAAGTTTTCTTCATCCACATTTGTATGGGGTATGAATGTGTTGCCAGTAGAAGTGGTTACTCAAGCATGCGCATATTGTAGCGCGCCCTGTCATATCCACTGCAAGTGGGCACATTTGTGTACTTTACGTCTCCGCGACTGTTACTCTTACTGCTACTGTTATTGCTGTTGTATGGTTTTTGTATTCTGTCAACTGCTAGGCGCCTGGACCAAACACAAATTTTAGCTTTGAAATCTACGTGTGCTATCTGAGTTATCTTGTTTACAAAATTATTATTCAAAGCTGTAAGCGACATTTTATTCGTTCTAAAATGTTTTGCAAATTTGAAAATTTGCGCGAATTGTTTCGGAGTTTGAGGAATTAAGTTTTATTTATTTACGAGAATAGTGCTGATGGATTTATTCGGATTATTAAATCAACAAGTGATATGATAGTTGGAGAAGAAAATAATTCGACATTAAAATTGGTTGTGTTAATTTTTATTTGAAATGTTAATGTGGCAAAAATTGGCAAAAAAACTACAAAAAAATTAATAATAAAATTATTTAAAATAATTTTAATATTTGAGAAGTGTGATTTTAAAAGGATCTAGAGGACAACGAATTTTTAGAGAAGATGATTGGAGGATGTTTTGGCAGTTTATTATTTAAATTGGAAAAGTGATTGCTTTTTAAATAATGGATATGAGGAACGTATAAGAAGGGAAAATTGTAAGGATAAATCTATTTAACGTAGACAAAATTATGGTTGGATTTTTCTGCGGGAATTTTCGTCTGACTAGAATGTATCTTTTACTACTTATCCTAGTACTTATTCTCGGAGCTTGGACACCTTCAGGTAAGGATTATAAGATGAATCATTTGAATGTAGTTTTGTTACGTTATATTCGAGAATTTTTATGCACATTTTTTTTTTTATAAAAATAAAATAATATCGATGAGGACGGTTATTATTATTATCAGTTTTGAATTGAACTTGAAATTTAAATATAAATGATATGTTATAAAAAAAAAGTTATTTTTACTGTTATTTCAAGTTTTTTAAGTATAAATAATCCTAATCCTTCCAATATTTTTTCTTGTACGTTAATCCTTCCAATCCGTGTCGTTGATATTTGTTTGAAATTTTTTCAATACTTGTTACTAAAACTCTAAATTCTTTATATACATATATATTTTTTTTTTAGTTGAAGGGATTAGATACAAGGTAATTCTTTGTTAAAAATTTTAATCAAAAAATAAAAGATTAAGTCCAATCAAATCGCTTGTAAAAAATATTTTACAATCCTCAACTTATCAACGAAATTGCCAATATTTTATTTAACAAATCTTGAAGAAAAAAGAAAAAAATAAATAAAATTCTCATTGCATTGATACTTTTTTTTTTTTTAATTTACAGCTTTACTTACCAGACAAGTACATGTGCTAAAAAAGTATCTGTGCTATATTTGAAATAATTTATTCAACAAGAAATAATTTCAATTTAAAATGAAATGATAAATTCAGTAAAACAATAGATTGATTTATCACAAAAAAATATTTTCCACATTCACATAAAAGATTTTATATTCCGCGAAAAAATTCAATAATTTTCTCTACAATATTTTTAATTACTCACGTAGTTAACAAATCGTAATAACCACTAAAAAACCAGTGATTCATTCATATAGTTACAGTACAGTAAGAGCAGTGCAAAAAAAAGGCATCACTTTTATCTGACGCTTTTATGATCAGTTTTTTTTTCACTTTTAGTCACCTTTTATCTTTCCTATAGCTATCAGTACTGTATACTAATTTTAATGTAAAATCTTTCTTCCGTAGTTCCGCTCTTAGTCTGTAGAATTTCTAGGGAAAACGTAATTGCTAGTCCTACAACTACAGAAGTACCCAGATTCATGTACATATATTGTTCATTAGCATGTGGCTATGAGTGGAATGAGAAACAATAGACTACATGTTCCACTCAATCATTGTTGTCATGCTCTGACTGTCATTATTTAATTGACATTGCTACAGTATAAGTACGTTTCAGTACACATATGCTCCAAGTATGTAACGTGGCTCTCATAATAAGCCCACCACTAACTACTATTTCAACTACTTCGAAAAGAGGAGTCATCATTGTAAATTAGCTGTATAACATTTTAGTACTTTTTTATTCATACTATTATTAGTATTATTGTTGTTGTTATTATCACCAGTATTACAATTATAATTATTATTATTATTTTATACATTCATAGCATACTCGAGTGTATATGCATTCTTAAATAGAAAGTGAGTGACATTAAAAGCTTTGTTGAAAAGAACATTATTACAAACGTAGTTATGAATTGAATTACAGCATACTTATGTGTTGTTTAATAGTCATTTATTACAATCCTATTTCTCATAATACAGTGGAAACAATTTTTCAACTAATATGCTTGGAATTAAATCAAAAACTTAATTAGTAAACTGAACAGAAAAATGAAGACAGAAAAAAATGATGTATCAATAAAGATTTATGAGTTGTATATTTTTTTTTTAAATTAGAAAAAGAGAGTTTCAAGGAAGCTGTTGTGATTCGTTAATAAAAAAAAATTAAAAATAATAACTAATCACCCAGCAGAATATTAAGTTAGGAATAAGTAAGCTGTAGATTGTAAAGTGGACCTTAAAATGGAAATTTAAGATGTTTCGGAAGATGTAGATTTATTTTCTATAAGATGACAAAAAAATTACAAGTTAAATATCGAATAAAAAATCGATAGTTATTAGTGGCTACCGCAGATTACATCACTGTAAAAACTTATGTCTTAAATTCTGTTGAATAAGACATTTTCTCTGTCTTACGCCGTAAAGTAAGTCACAAAAAGTGTCCTAATTGACCGATAAGACGCAAGGAAAGTTGTATTTTCAGACATTTATTAATGTTTGAAAATTACATAAATTAATTTTTTTTCTAACAAACCTGATAACTTCCATAAAATTAGACATCGATCTAGAGAGCTCCTTCAAACTATTGAGGGGTGGGGTAATAGTTTAGATCACTCAAACATAGGACGATCCATTAATAGATGAATAATAGTACCATCCATCACTATCGAGACGTAAATTGAGGTTGTAAATACATATTGTTTATTAAGAGAATTTTTTTGTTTTATTTGTTCACTCGAATTATTTATTTATAAAATCAAACCAATTATTCAAAGTTAAATAGTTAGTAAAAACAAAATGGAACTTCTAAGTAACTCTTCGCGAAAAAAAAAGGATCTTGATAAGTTAAACTTCATACTTCTGGAGTTTGAACTTTCTGGTCTTCGAATAATTGAGCCAAAATTTTTTGCTGAGATAGTGGATGTAACAATAAATGGAAAAATTACAAAAACAGGATTGAATTATTTTTATATTAAAAAATGGTGATCTTTAAAAAAAATGTAAAAAATTCACATTTGTTTGTCAAATGCTTTTATGATCATTAAAACTTTGTTCCTCTTTTTTTTTTTTTTATTTATTCACACATACTGAGAATCTTCATTTATATCCTAATCTTTTTTCAAGGTTCACGATCTAAAATCCCCCAGAGATCATTTGACGAAATTCCCCAAAGAGCCCTCTGATAAAATGTCCGTTTTATTAAACCGTGACCGAAATAACAACTCAAATTTCTCGGGAAAAGAATATTTGATTGAAAATTACTGGGATCATTAACATTTAAGATAATATTCTATTTCTAAAATGCATATATTATCTTTAAAAGAAAAAATAAAAATACGAATATTTTCAGCGGAAAAAATTTTTTATGAAAAAAATACATATCTCATTGTGCTGTATTATTTTTTTTACTCCAGCTTTTTCTTCTTCAGCTTTCATGTAATATTAACTCAGAAAACACTGAATTTGTTAAAATATAACCATTCCAACGACTAATAATTCATGCGAAAAAAAATATATTTATTATAAAAAATTTTTTTACTATCATTACTATTGTTAAATTCTTGAAATTTTTCACCCTCTCTCCCATGAATAATAACTAAAATTCACATAAGCTTCTCTAATAAATTTAAAACAAAGTTTTTTAGATATCCAATGCTTATCTTGATAATAACAATTTGAAATAAATATTGCATTCCCATTGTTATCTCTCTTCACTTTAAAAATTCCCTCGCTTAAATCAATAAATAATATTTATTCATGGGGGGAAGAAATTCCTTTGAATAAAAAAAAAGGAAAATAATGAAAAATCAACATAAAATTTATTGGAACTTGGTCGCTAATTATCGTCATTTCCATGCGAAATTGACTAGTTAAACGATTTATAGTTTGATTGTAGTAAACATAATTGGTAATTTTTTTTTTTTTTTCGTTAGAATTATTAACTGTTTAATCAGCTTGATAAAAATGACGACTGCACGGCAATAAGTACCCTCGTTCATTCGAAGTAGTCTCGTGTCGTTTAATTAGCCCTCTTTCATTGACTCACCACACGCACACATCATCTAGCATCCATTATATCAAGTCGTAGAGTACGGTACGATGGTGCGGCTATTATACGTATTTTCTAAAGAAGAACGACAATAAACGACAAACAACTGGCGACGGATCATTTGACTTTTTTGACCCTCCACCCATTGTTACATTTTCTCATAATATTGTATAAAGTCTTCATGATAACTATCACAAGCCTGGAAATGATGTATTTATTCTTTTTCTCAGTTGTACAAATTAGCAGTTGCACGAAAACTAAAATGTTGTTTTTTTTGGTGAAATAAGAATAATTTAGATGGATGAATAAAATGGAAAATTAATTGATTTATTTAAAACTCTCGGAAAGCATTGGCTTTACTTTAATCATTTTTTTAAATATTAATGAGAAACAAGTTAGTTGTATAAGTAAAGAAAGGTCCAGGGAGAGTAGATTGTAGAGAATGGTCTCTTTCTTTGATATTCTTTCGAATAATAAAAATAAAAAAATCACTCTACGATTCAAAATTGCAAATTAATTTATGTAAAAATGGTAAAAGGATAGTTTTGAAGGAGTCTAATTATTAAAAATAATCATAAAAAAAGTATTGTAAAGATACTCTTTTTTAATTAAGAGATTAAAACTTTTGTAAAAAGTTTTATTATTTATTTTGTCGAGACTTTTTTTGTAATAACATTTCCTGAAATTAATGTTTAAAATTTCTCGAGTGCTTATTATGTTGTGTTATAGGGATGATTGTTTAATGACGATCAGTATTTATGGATTGGCACTTCTAGAAAATCAAGTGGGTGATGTTGAAGGGGAGAGAAGGACGATAATATTCTGAACATTTTTTTTTAGTGCTTGATAGTCCATATGTATATAAATGCTGCAGCTGTCGTTGTATTGTAAAATCCAATGTATCATATTTATTGTCTGATGACAAATATTTCTAACGATCGATTTTATAAAAATGTTTAAAAGTTTTAGAGTGACCTATACGCAGAAAAAAAATTTTTTTATAGTTAACAAAAATCATATGCTACAAATGAGATTTATTTATGATATCAATAAACTTTTGTTATTGTCAGTGAGTTAGATGTATTTAATAGAAAAAATTAATCATAAATCATTTTTACAATTACATGAAACTTTTACACTTTTATGTAATAAACATCACGATTTTTATTAAATAAAACTTCTCTGGTTAAACAATTATAAAGTGTCAATTTTTTTAATTATCTAGATGATGAATTTATTGAAAAGTTCGACTTCTGGTTAGAGACATGAACTTTTAATAAAGTCAACTACAAATTCAACCATTTTTAAATTAATTTTTTCAATTATCTGATATTGAAAAATTTCTTTAAAATTTAATAAAATTTTCTTGGACAAGTTTTAATTACTATCGGAAGTTAGTACTTGGTATTTTGATCCAGAGTAATTGGTCTCCAACAAATTGAGCTATAGAATTAATTCGTAGTAAAATTTTCAATCATTTTGTACAATAACCATTTTTAAAAATTAATTAAACTATCAAAAACTGGTTTTATCTCCACATCTAATCTATCTAGAGCAATAAGAAGATTGGAGTATGTGAAGTTTCTGTCTAATAAAAAAAAAACAATTTGTTTTCTTAAATCATTGTACCCTTGACTCTAGACATATAATCAATTAAATCAATTTTGCTTCGGTCCAAAATTTATTTTATAGACCAATTTCCTGTAGACTAATTCACATTGAATCAATATCCAAGATGTTAACTATCACGAGTACGAAATACTGAAAGAAAAATTTTGTTTACTATCAGAAAAATAACTCAGAAAAATATTAATATTCAATTTTTTAAATTAAATTTGTCATTATCAATAAATAAAAATTGTTAAGGCTTTTTATTTATAAGAATAAAATAGAGAAAAATTTAATAATTAATTCACAGTCTAAACAAAATGTTCAAATTGACATGTAATGTAAATACTGATATAAAGCTTAGTATAAAAGCTTTTGTAGAAAACATAAAATATTTTATTCGAAATAAGAATTTCTCTTGTCTTAAATAAAAGTAGAATTGTCACTTTTATAATAAAAGGATTTTCTTTATTCTCTTGAGGTGTGAATTTTATACAAATTTTTTACAGATAATTATTTCTTCACAAACATTTTTTCTATATAAATCTTTTTTCTCTGGCCGGAATCGAATTTATAAAATATGTAGTTCGAAAGTTTTATCACATCTTCGACTAGAGTAGATAGAAAAAAAAATTGAAATAGGAAGAACGGAAAGACAGTAGGAAAAGAAAATGTTAAAAAATTTCAATTCTTGACTTATCCAATTCCACCCTTGCCTTCTATATCAACCAGAGTAGAAAGTATGTATATACACACATATATATATACAGAGATTATATTATATACACATACACTTACAGTGACGTTTTACTTGGTATCATCATTATTGCCTAATTAATATCTCTACAAGTATCCATTTTCCTTCATGATCAAAACCAAGCTATCAAATTAATTAATAAATGAACAAACATTACTATATAGTGTATAGAATTATATCACAGTACATTAACCCTTCACCACTTGTGTGCTTTTAGAAAGTTTAAATTATGAGAAAATCTTATAACTTAACTTACAGAGGATTGAATAAAGCTATTGTTTCAAGTAAAATTTATTACTGTTGACTTGATCTTTCGTTATGTTTGAGCAGAGATGCAGTGTGTAGAATTCTTTTTCTACATTTCTTCAAAATCTTGCCTTTTAAAATAATGAAATAACAAGTATTTTTTACATAATTATATGAATGATGAGAAACATATCTTTAGGTTGTATGTAATATAATAAAACTTGGAATTTTTTTCTAATTGGTAGAGTGACTGATAAAATTCTTAAAAAAGACTGTTTCGCTCCAGTTTCACTCTATAGAAAATTTTATTTAGAGCAAACTTGTCTTACTTAGTGGTATAGTGGACTTTCATGATAGAATTTACTTTAGTGTAATTCAACAACGACAATTTACTGAGTATGTGTAAAGAATCTCATAGAAAAAGTTGCTCTAAAACTAACTATAGAAAATTTTTAATATTTATTAACAATCGATTGTTCATATTCAATAGAGTTTGTTAGATCTTATCGATTACCTATTTTATTCATTCCCATTGATTCCTAGATTAATTCAGAAATTAATTAAACCAGTCAATTATATTCTAATTAAAGTAGAAACTAGATTATTAACAAGTGTCATATTAATTATATTTGTTTACAATACTTTAGGTGTAACCATACATTTTTAATAAAGCCAAAAATTAAATTATTCTGATACACTTCATTTAATTATGTATATATAATTAACCAAGTTAATTTAAAAAAGAAATTTTTATTAAAATAAAGTTCAACTAATTGTTAAATATTAAATTTTCCATCATTGTGTAATAAATTATTAATATTGAATATGAATTATTAATACCAGCTATTAATTATTGATTAGTGATTATTAAAGAAATTATTTATTAATGTGCTCCTGTCAAACTCATCATCATTGTTCTAAGAATATATTTTCAGGTCACTTATAGCAACATTTTAATCGACAAAAAAATTTTTTATTTTTAGTTAGCATTGATTACAGATTTTTCGACTTTTTTATAAGCATTAAAAAAATTTTATAAATCCTAAATATATGACAATCGGATTAAACTTAATAGAATGCTTTAACAAAAGTATAAAAATATTTTCCAACATAAAAATAAATGAGATAAAAGGATGAATTTATTATGGGTGACATTTATGTGTTATTAAAGTATGAAAACACTAGTATTATCCATTTGGCATGAAATTACAAAATGAAACTCATATATACTTCGATCGTACACTTAACCCACATGACTTCAATTAAGAAAGCAATACTTGTAAATTGACCATAATAAAACTATAGTAGGAGAAGTTATCACTGAAAAAATAATACTCATCTACATGGTTCCGGTAATATGAACGAATTACTGTTTAAATATTTAATATAACGAGTCATAACTGTACTTGATTATAATAAAATCTTTACCACATTACATTTTTATTAAATTTACTGGTAGAAAGAAAAATAATATAACGTCATAAAAAAGTAGTCGAGGGTAAAAACAAAAAAATTTAGGAAATTTACTTCACAATAACCTGGAAAATTAAAGAGTGTTCGTGCTAGTTTTTTTTTTAAATATAATTTTATAAGAAACATGATTGCATTTTATTGATGTAAATATTTATGAAAAATATCATCTTTTAGAGTATTTTTGTTTGAAATTATTTATAAACTAATATTTATGTACTTTATACTCTCAGTATTAAATTATTTGTTTATACTTTTTATGAAATTATTCATCAATTATCTTTCAATTAATTTATTTGAGTTTAATAACTCAAAGTTAACAATCGAATAATGCTGTGTAAATCAAAAAATAGTTTTTATAGTAAACTTTTTTGAAGAAGAGTTAATATTACCTATTAACTTTACAACTTTTTTCACCAGAGCAATTTCTATAAGCTCTTAAATATATATCTGCTCTCAAATGAAAAATTAGCTGCTGATGAAAAAAACTGTTCAGATTAAAAAAAAAATTCTAAAAAAAACCCTTTTACTTTACCCTTCTAAGACTTCCAGGCAAGAACTCAGTGACAAAAAATATTTAAGCCAATATTTCGTATCTAAAAAAATCATAAAAAGTTTTATGCTATAATTTTGAAGCTTTTTCTTTCTGTAATGTTACAAATAAATAATAAAATATTTATATATTTCAGGTAATTGTGAAGCTGGTATTGGTGTGACAAGTAAAAAATACGTCAAGCTCAAAGCACCAAAAGTAGTAGACCCCAACGACCAAAAAATAACACTAGAATGTAGATACGATCTCGACGGTGAAGGATTATTCTCTGTAAACTGGTTCAAAGATGGGAACGAATTCTTTAGATACATGTCTCCAGTGAATACAGCATCAGGTGACTTACCAAGTGTTGATGCTTTTGATGTTCATGGTATTCGGGTTGACTTGAGTGCGAGCAATGATAAACGCGTTGTTATTCATCAATACTATGAAGGGAAATGGGTCAATATAACTGGATCATACGGATGTCAAGTATCAGGAGAGGGACCAAAGTTCGACATAATGTATGATGAAGCTAATGTTACAATCGGTGTATTGCATGCTTATGGTGATCCTATTCTCAAAGGCATTAAGTCTCATTATAGTATCGGTGATACTCTATCTGTTACTTGCAAATCAGCACCAGTTTATCCGCCAGCTCAATTAACATTTTTCATCAATGGTCGACAGGTAAGACTCTATTTCTAATTAAGTGGAACAGTAAATCAATAAATGAAGGCTAGATTTTAAAATAATGTTGAGAGATGAACTATTTTTACTTCTTTTATCAGCAAGCTAAAAAACGATTAATATTTGTATTAAATTGAAGTCATTTTTTTAAGGAAATTTTATTTAATATAAAATAAAATAACATTTTAGTGTCGATATTGGAACTTTTTATGTAAATAAATAACTGCAGTTATAGAAATTAAGGGTGGTTTAAATTTTTTTTAGTAAACATTGCCTCAACTACTCTAACATTTACCTAAAATCAATACATTTCATTTAATCTAATTAAAATATTCTTGTTCAGCATCTTAAAGTTCACTGAAGTTTGTTAATTTCATCAAAACATTTTTGTTGGTGTTACTTAGTGTTATCGAACAAATTAATAAATTCATGATGTCGAACAAGGATGAAACTAATTTAATATTACCGGATTAGAAATTAAATAGACTTTGAATTAAGTCATACCCTAGAATTGATAAAAACAATCAATCAAGTAAATTTTTAAAAACTTTCATGTTCTTTTTTAATTTTCATGCAAAAATAAAATAATAAATAGTTTTTAATGATGTATTTAATGGAGTTTATATTGAGACGATTTTTTTGATAGAGTTCAGTTAGTTAAAATCATCTCAGTAGCTTAATCTTACCCACATGATGTTCCTAGATATTTCAATCAAACTAATTTTGATAAATAGCAAAAATAAGGGTAGTAATGATTTTAATATCTCTTCATGGTAAACAAAATTTATTGCTTAGTATAGACGAGAAAAATAGATTATATCGACAATTACAGTGCAGAGTGTGTAGATTCATGATTCTCGCATGATTCATAGCTCTGCTTATTGAGGGACTTGATTTATATGACTGAGATTAATTTTTAGACATTTGATGAGAACTCACAGCCAGAAAATGATATGAACCACACATAACTTTAATCCTAGTATTTTTCTTTTTGCTATCTATCTTTTATTGATTAAATATATCACAAAATAATTTATCTCAACCAATTGATATCGAATTTTTCATTTTTTACGAATAAATCTAACAGATAAAACAATTTTATTGAATATTTAGCAACTTCACTTTGCATTCTTTACCATAAATTAGAATAAAAGAGAAATAATTAATCCTTGGTTTGATTTCAGGTAAAAAAATCATCAAAATTCAAATTACTTTCAAATGTGACAACAATACCATATTTAGAAGGGAGTACATCTCTTTCAACGACAAACCTTCAATTATCATTAATACTTGAGCATAATGACTTTAATGCTACAGGAAGCCTTAGTCTTGTTTGTCAATCTCGTTTACCAGGAATTACAAGTGTTAAACCTCGTGAGGCTAGAATAATCATCTCTCTCCTTCAAGCAGCATCAGCAGAAGCAGTCAGTAATAATGAGAAGCAACTCGTACAGTCGGATGCTATTGCACCAACTACCACAACGCTTTCTTCCTCTGCTTCTTCCCTGCTTCTATCAACTGTCACAACTACAACCATTTTCATCACAATTCCAGTCATTCTGATATTCAATTTTCCTTTAATTAATCTTTTTGAAACATTTTTCGTTAAAAGCTTTCGGTTATTGTAGTTATTATTATTACTACTACTACTACATCATCTAAATCAGTTATTCTGTAAATAATGTATAGTATTATATTAATGCATTTTTATTGATATTTTTTATATTTCATTAAATGTATTTCATAGAAAAAAATTTTTTAGGCAGTTTTTCAATTCAGTGCGTTATTGTAAAGCTATTAAATATAGAAATTTTGTTGATATTTATTAATCTTTAGCTCAAAATCAGTGCTAAAAAAATTTAGTATCAGCAATAATATTTTTTCTAATCATCAAGTATTTTTAGTCCAATTTTTTATTATTAATACCAAAACATTCAATCTTAATAAATAAAAGTTTTTACTGATAACAATATAAAAATTCTGTTTTTCATATCAAAATATACTGTTTTACAATAGATTGGGAATTTTTAATTAATTTATTTTTTATTCAAGTATAATTTATGTAAAATATTTTTACCAAGCAAAAGCGTCCAAACAATCTTTTCTAATTAAGTTTTGTAGATTTTCTCTATGTACACTTTTCCTGTACCAAAAGAGTACAAAGAATAACCTTCTTTTTTTTTTTAAATATTAAAGTTCTGAATAATTAAGTAATATAACGACTAGAAAATGAAAAAAGAAGAAGATTGTTCTAGTAAAGAAACATTCAGAAAACATTTAGTGATATATCACAGTTAGAATTTTACAGAATCATCATTAAAAATAACTTTCGTTACGAAAATAACAATTAAAGTGTTTGCATATCTATGTATAAAAGAAAACACACATTTATTTTATAGTATCACATACATCTGGTTATCATAAAAATAATAAAAAGCTCATTACTTATATTTGCAATCGAACAATATTTAATTTTTCGTTTTCTCGTTCGACATTATTTAACTATAAATTTACGACATAGAGATATTATGGATATTAGTACAGTGTTTTTCGTGAGATTGCATATTGCTGCTCTCATTAAAGTAATAGTGATTAAATTCCATACGTATGCATGTTGAAAGAATAAATTGTACGTAAAAATATTAATTAATCAAAAATACACCATACTTATGGGCAAACAAAAATAGAATAATTAATTAATTTACAATAATAATTCAAATAATAATCCATTGTTGATTTTATGTATCAGTAGTGGAGAGCTACATGATAAAATATTTCAGTAATTGATCATTTTTGATACTGCAATTTAGTGCGAAAGATTTCTATCCTTCGGTTTACAGTAATAATGAAATCAGTAAAATAAACCAAACAATAATAGATAAAAAAAAGATTAAAAAATTCATTTTTACTAAATTTAAAATGCAAATAAGAATAAATTTTTAATTAAAATGCATAAAACTGATCAAAAATGCAATACCATCAAATAAAATCGTGTACTCGACTGTTAATAATTAATTTATTTTGTGTTTAATCTATTTAATTATTCTTTATGTGCGTTTTAGTTGATTTTATAATTAAAAAAGTTATATATATATATGTTATAAACGCAAATAATTTAGTCTAACAATGCCATGATTTACTGCTCACATTTATTCATTAACAAATTATTTTGTAGATTAATTGATTATTATCTTTTCAATTAAACAATTCAATCCATTAGTAATATATTTATAAATTTGAATTAAATTACTATGCACTGATGTTTTCCCATAATTATTCAAAATATTCTAATGATGTAAAGGTAAACAATAGGAAGAAATTAAATTTCATCCAATCTCTAACTGTACCACATCAGTAATATTTTTGTGACCCCAAAACATAAAAAAATTTTTATTCGGAGGATTCATTATATAATACTTCAACAAGTAGCTGTATACTGGTAATTGGCTAGTCGTGACTACCCTGAACTAATATGCTAGAAGACTGTAATAGCAGGAAGTTTGCCTTAAGCTATTCAACTCTTTACAAAGTACTAGTAGTTTCCATATAATTTCTCTTTTGAATTTTCAACTTGGTTCAATTACAGTATGCTTTATTATTTCTCGATTTACCTCCGGTAATATTTATTAATAAATTATACATTCGTATGTGGACCAATGTCTGGCTTAACAATATTATTACTTATGTGGCAGGAGTTTATTGTATAACTTAGTTATAAGAGTTAACAGTTCCTTTAATTAATATTCTAGTGCATTAATTTCATTAATAATTAAATGAAATTAAAAGTACAGTTTTTGGCTATAGTTGTTGTTAGATTTTAAAATATTCATCAACGAATTATAGGCAAAAAATATAATGCTGATGACTGTACTTTAATTGTATCCTTTTACTTTTAAGAAAAACCAATATAACAAAAAAATGATTATCTTGAAAAAGGATATTTTAAAAGACAAGTTTTCTTTCAAATTCGACTGTTGAAATATTTATTACATATTTTATTAATTATGCACATGTACATAATTTATTGGAATGATAAATAATGTGGTCAATGTATAGAAATTACGACACTTGTATATGATTTGAAAAAATTTTTATACTATGATTTAACAACAATAGTATTATTGTAAAATTTTATTATAAAAAAATGAAAAACACATTAAATGTCTCCTTCATTAAATCTATGGCAGAGTAAAGTGTTATACAATTTAACTGTTTATGAACATTTAAGGAGAAAATGTATTATCAAACGATTGAATAAGCTCAAATGGAGTAAAGAAATAGTGGAGAGTAAAGAGTGATTTGTAATAAACAAATAAATTGCATTTACATGTTATTGAATTCACCCGAACCATTAGCGTTTAACATTAATATGTTTGGATTTTCTTTTTCAAAGGCAGTGGCATCTCGTCCTCCTGGTCTTTCTTCTTGTCCCCATTCTCCTAACGTTCCTTGCATAACATCTGATTGTTGTTGTTGACGTGACAACTCTTCTTCTCTCTGTGACATTACTGACAATATATCCGTCAAAGTCAAAAAGGTGTAATAGTTTAACAGATAAACTATTGAAATGAAGTTGATTGTGAAGTAAATAAATAAAATTAGACAACAGAAAAAAGACAAACCAAATGATTTTTCCAACCCATTAAAATAATCAGAAAAAATTGTTTGATCGTTGAGGAGTATTAATTATTACCAACCTGCTTGTCAGCTCGTGCCATTCTTTCAAACATGTTTGCATACAATTTTTTGTCTTTTTCATGATTTTTTCGTATCATACTGCTACAAACTGAAATTTGTTTTATTGCCGCTGTGTTCTTTGGTTCGATTTCTTTAATTTTTTCAAAATCCTTTATAGCTTCTTCAGGCAGTGACAATGCCAATAAAGCTTGACCTCTTCTGAACAAAGCTTTTTCATTATTAATATCCATTTCTAAAGCTTTAGTGCAAACATTTTTCGCTTCAAAATGTTCATTACTTTTGAGATAAAATAAAGCTAGATTCAAATATCCTGCTAGTAAAATTTTATCTCGTTCCTCTTTAGCTTTATCGTCAAAACTACCCGTTTCTAAAAATGAAAGTACTTTGTTTCCCATTTTTATGGCAAGAGCTGTTTTACCGTCTTTGAAGTAATTTGTTGACTTCTCTTTAAACAGTTTTGCTTGGTCTATTTTTGTGGCCTCGTCCATAGCCCATGTATCTGCAGCCTACCATCAAAAAATTGTTTTTAAGATTGCAAGCAATATAATATCGTAAAAGACTTTAGTATTTAATTTAGAATATTTACTTTCTCAAAACTTTTCAATTCAACAATGTATTCAACATCAGCATCAGGTGGAATACCAAATTCTGGATGACCGGTTTTTTTGAACGCATGTTTACTCTTAATCTTCAGTCGAGATTTTTCATTTCCTTTGAATCTCTTTAAAGCATGCTCTAAACCTTCAATGATTCCTTCATTTTCACCTTCTCCAATGTTGAATTGAACGTCACGTTCTTCAAAGACTTTATCATTATATTTACCAACCAAATGAACTAAAAAAATTTTTTCATATTAATTGATATTACCAGAAATCCATGTGAATTAATTATTATAACATAATTGAATGTTTTAAGAGTAGGTATGAAAAATGTCTTTTTACTATTTACTAATGCGCTATCGTTAGGGTAATCACTGCCTGATCCTTGAACTATTTGGAATCTTTCAATGCTTCCATCCATATTCGGACTAATATCTTCACCCGTCCAATCCAACATTTCAATCTATTGTAAAAATAATTTAAGTAAATTCTTAGTTAGAATATGATAAATAAATAATAAAAAATAAAAATAGAATAGATTACTCACTTCGAATTTTAGAGTAGCATCAGGTGGAATTTTTGGTGGTGAGCCTGCTTTGCCATATGCATACTTGGCATCACAAGTTAACATAGCCACCTCTCCTTTTTTCATAGTCGCAACACCAATATCCCATGCTTTAATTACGCTGCCTTGGCCTAAGTTGAATTCAAATGGCGAATCATGATCTTTACTTGAATCAAATTTCGTTCCATCCAATAAAGTTCCAGTGTAATGAACTTTAACCTTGCATCCTGGCGATGGTGTTTCCGTGCCAGTACCTTCTTTGATGATTTCTTTCAATACTCCACCGTCATTTTTTGGAGAAATATCAATTCCTGTTGCCATTCTGAATCAAAATAAAACAATGATTTATTTATATATTTCATTATTTACTATTATTTTAATTAATTACTCCAAATAATCCATTTATAATATGATGAATAATATTCTAGAAATATCTATAAAAAATTGAAAAATTGTTTTGGAGTCATTATTTTAGAAACCATTTATTACAATGATATTTTAAATTTAATTAACTTTTATCTAATATTCATCTTGTTAAACGAAATTTTTGGAGTAGACTCCGGCACATTACTACTATTAGAAATAGTTTTCTATGATAACAAATGATCTTTCTAGAATGTCATTCTAAATAATTCCAATCATGATCTTTTCATATTCATTATGAATATTAATAACAATAATTAAACATTTTCTTGCAAATATTCAATAAAACATTTGTGTATGCTTCACAACAAGATCATGTATAAAACATTAAATAAAAAATGTATTTTATGTTATAAAAACTAATTAACTCATTACTTCATTCAAAAAGAATTGAACAAACACATTACTTACTTGATTACGATTATTGAGCGCTTCTTTATAGAAACTCAGAATGTGTACTAGGCTTCGTAAACCTAAGAATGGTGCAAAAAGCAATTATGAACTTTCGAGAATTTTTCTCTTGAAAAAACGTGGATAATCGTGAATCAAAGGGTAAACTTCGGTTTTATTCGACTATATTCGTCAACAAAAGAGTCAGGTTTGCCGGCAATCTCCTTCTACTCAATAATTTTACTTTCACTCCCGTACGGCCATGCGCAGAACAAAAGTACACGTGGGAGGTAATAGTTATAGTAGTGGGGGATACTTTGTAATAAATACGATGACGCCATTTTGACCAGGTGAGTTATATGATGTAATTGAATTTTCCTCGTTTCCGAAAGTTGCTCCGTTGATAACAGCATAGGCTTTACTGTTGCTTAGTGTACAAATACATATCCATATATACATAAAGTGCTCCAATAACAGTAGTAGTTCACCTGCAGTTTGACATGAGTACAGCTATGTGTATCACTATTTTACTTTAAAAACTGTTTGCAATAGTAATAATAAACTAATAAGTTATTAGTTTTACTTAATAATATAAGAGTGTTTATAAAAAAATAATTCTAACATAATTATATTGACAGTGATAATGGTGATTATTAAAATGATTATAATAAACATCAAGAACCAACAATAATAGTAATAATAAAAATAATCAAGTATTAAATACGACAGCTATAGTGGCATAAAAATGGCGACATGAAATGGCAGGACGACGGTCATCGGCTTTATCTAATATAGAATCCCTGCAATCCTATGGAACTCAGGGCTCGTCTGATCATTCATTACGAGAACTTTTTGAAGCATGTAAAAATGGTGATTTACCACGTATTAAAAAATTAGTTACTTCTCAGACAGTCAATGCACGAGATACAGCTGGTCGTAAATCTACTCCTCTGCATTTCGCAGCTGGTAAGTTTGTGTTATTATTATTTTTGTGTTATTCATGTTATTTTTTTTTTACTGAAAAAGTTATTTATAACTCCTAAGAATATATATTCAAAGTTTTTTTTGTATTTTAATTATATTAATTTTATTTTAATAAGCAATATAAGAACAAATATATATGTATGTATATATATATATATATATATATATATATTAATTAGAATATTTAATTGAATGAAACAAAAATTTTATAGGATATGGACGAAAAGAAGTAGTAGAGTTTCTTTTATCTGCTGGAGCATCAATCCAAGCAAGAGACGATGGTGGATTACATCCACTACATAATGCTTGCTCTTTTGGACATTGTGATGTAGTAAGATTGCTGTTAGAAGCTGGAGCAAATCCAAATACACGTGATAATTGGAATTACACTCCTTTACATGAAGCTGCCATAAAGGTAAATCATCTAAATTATAATGTTTACTTATCTTCAACTTATGTTGATGAAGTAACTCAGCCTATTTAGTGACATTATCTTTACATTTTTATTTTAGGGAAAAATAGATGTATGCATTTCTTTACTACAACATGGTGCGGATCCAAATATTCGCAATACTGAAGGAAAGACAGCATTAGATTTAGCTGATGCAGCGACTAAACCTGTTCTAACAGGTGAATACAGAAAAGATGAGCTCCTAGAAGCTGCAAGATCTGGAAATGAAGAAAAACTATTACAATTACTCAATCCTATAAATGTAAACTGTCATGCAAGTGATGGTCGAAGATCTACACCGTTACATTTAGCCGCTGGATACAATCGTGCGAGAATTGTCCAGCTACTTTTACAAAACGGTGCTGATGTTCATGCTAAAGATAAAGGGGGATTAGTGCCGCTTCATAATGCATGTTCTTATGGTCATTTTGAAGTAACAGAAGCATTATTAAAACATGGTGCAGCTGTGAATGCTAGTGATTTATGGGCATTTACTCCACTACATGAAGCTGCTAGTAAATCAAGAGCAGAAGTGTGTTCTTTACTTTTAAGTGAAGGAGCTGATCCAACACAGTTAAATTGTCACGGTAAAAGTGCCATCGATGTTGCACCAACTTTAGAATTACAAGAACGATTAGCTTATGAATATCGCGGACACTGTCTTTTAGAAGCATGTAGACAAGCGGATTTAACCAAATTCAAAAAATATTTATCTTTTTCATCATGTTCATCATCGAATACCTCAAATTCATCTGCATCGTCAACGCTCACATCGACATCGTCTTCAACGTCAACATTAGAATTGATTAATTTTAAACACCCATTTACCGGTGACACACCTTTACATTATGCTGTTGCTTCACCATATCCTAAGAGAAAACAAATAATAGAAGCATTAATACGAAAAAACGCACTATTGAATGAAAAAAACAAAGACTTTCTAACACCTCTTCATGTTGCTACGGACCATTCTCATTACGATGCTATGGATATATTATTAAGGCACAGTGCTAGAGTTAATTCACTCGATGGGCTTGGACAAACAGCTCTTCATCGATGTGCTCGTGAAGATAACGTTCAGGCAGCTAAAATTCTTCTTTCATACAATATTGATCCTTCAATTGTATCGTTACAAGGCTATTTAGCGTCCCAAATAGCCGGAGAAAATGTAGCTAAATTATTTCTCAATCCTCCATTATCATCGTCGATTGCTATTTCTAATTGTTGCACTAGTTGTACCACCATTACTACCACTACTACAACGACCACTACTTCTATACCTAATGTTACGACAGCAGTCACCAATAGTCTAACTTATTGTAATAGTGGTACTAGTGCGAATGTCAATAATGGAACAAATAATGGAGTCTGTATACAAAACGACACAATTAGTATTGGAAATACTCCATCGACTGCTGTAGTTGAAGTACAACTTTTAGAAGCGAGCAAATCAGGTGATTTACAAGCTGTAGAAAAAATACTTTTATCGAATCCACATACTGTTAATTGTCGTGATTTAGATGGCAGACATTCAACACCGCTACATTTTGCTGCAGGATATAACCGTGTACCAGTTGTGGAATATCTTTTGGCTCACGGGGCTGATGTTCATGCTAAAGATAAAGGTGGACTAGTACCTCTTCATAATGCATGCTCTTATGGTCATTATGAAGTGACAGAACTTTTAGTAAAACATGGAGCATCAGTCAACGTTGCTGATTTATGGAAATTTACACCTCTACATGAGGCAGCTGCTAAAGGAAAATGTGAAATAGTACGACTTTTATTACGGCATGGAGCTGATGCGACGAAAAAAAATCGTGATGGAGCTACACCTTTAGATCTAGTCCGTGACGGTGATCAAGATGTTGCAGATTTACTGAGAGGTAACAGTGCATTGCTTGATGCTGCGAAGAAAGGTAATTTGGCACGAGTACAAAGACTCGTAACGCAAGACAACATAAATTGTCGAGATGCTCAAGGTCGTAATAGTACACCATTACATCTAGCAGCGGGATATAATAATCTTGAAGTCGCTGAGTTTTTATTAGAACGTGGTGCTGATGTTAACGCTCAAGATAAGGGTGGTTTAATACCACTTCACAATGCATCAAGCTATGGTCATCTAGATATTGCCGCTCTTCTTATTAAATATAATACTGTCATAAACGCAACTGACAAATGGGGATTTACTCCATTACATGAAGCTGCACAAAAAGGTCGTACACAACTTTGTGCTCTTTTATTAGCTCACGGAGCAGATCCTTTTCTTAAAAACCAAGAAGGACAGAGTCCTGTGGATCTTGCAAGCGCTGATGATGTAAGATGCTTATTACAAGATGCCATGACATCGCAACAAGTTATTCCATCAATTCCTCCTTTATTACTTGCATCATTATCACCATCACGTGTATCACCATCAATAATTAATAATTGCGATAATCAAGTGGTTAATGGCGGTACTAATTTAATTATTATTGGAAATTCAGTTAATAATAATAATACTAGTAATAGTTCGACAATTACATCATCATCAACGACCAGCACAACTTTATTAGCAACAACATCAATTTCTACAGCAGTAAAAACGACATTATCTTCGTCTTTACAATCACCATCAGCATCATTAATACCATCAACAACAATATCGACATTATCGTCATCGATATCTTCACCATTTTCGTCTACCTCATCATCTAATTTCATACAAGAGACTGTTATTATGCCGTCTGGAGCTGCGATGACACTTTGTGTACCAGTAATTGGACCTGGTACCGGTATAAGACAATCAGTGAACAATTGTAACAGCAATTCTTCAACTGTAACATGTTTAAATACTGTCCCATCATCGTTACAATCATCATCCCTGTCAACATTATCTATTTTAGATAATTCTTCGATAACAACAGAGAATACGTGCAATAATCATCAAATAATGGTTAATAGAGATAAAAATAATAGTAATTGTGACGAGAAAAACTGTAGTGATAGTACAGTGGGTATGATTACTAATATAGCTAGTTTTCTTCAAAGTCTTGGACTCGAACATTTATTAGAACTTTTTGAAAAAGAACAAATAACTTTAGATATCTTAGCAGAAATGGGTCATGAAGATTTAAAACAAGTTGGAATTACTGCTTACGGGTATCGACATAAGCTTATTAAAGGAATGGAAAAATTATTAAATTCATCGACGGGATCTTCTTTTTGGCAACAACCGTCTCTCAATAGTAGTAATCCGGGTACACTTCTTGTTGACCTTCTGGCGGACGATAAAGAATTTTTGGCAGTAGAACAAGAAATGCAAAGTACAATTCGAGAACATAGAGACAATGGCCACTCAGGTGGTATATTTTCGCGGTATAATATTATTAGAATTCAAAAAGTGCAAAATCGAAAATTATGGGAACGCTATGCTCATAGAAGACAAGAAGTAGCTGAAGAAGTGAGTGCTGCAGCGGCTGCAGCTGCAGCATCATCAACAGGACCATTGTCACCTTCATTAGCTTCTACTACCTCTAGTACCACTAATTGTATAGGAAAAACATCATCTAGAAATAATCAACAACAACAACAACAACCTGTACCTACCATGCCGCAAGCGAATGAACGAATGTTGTTCCATGGAAGTTCATTTATCAATGCAATTGTTCAAAAGGGATTCGATGAAAGACATGCTTATATTGGAGGCATGTTTGGTGCTGGGATCTATTTTGCTGAACATAGTAGTAAAAGTAATCAATATGTTTATGGAATTTGTGGAGGTACAGGATGTCCCGCTCATAAAGATCGAAGTTGTTATATTTGTCATAGGTAAGATATATTTTATTATTATACATACATTCTTTTTTAATATAAGTCATTTGATAAATAAAAAAAAATTAATCGGAATTTTATTTTTTAAATATATTTTTTGTTATCTATTGATTGTTTTCAATGATCCGATTGCCTCAATTATCATGAGTATTGATTTCTAAGAATAATTTTCTATTTTATTGAAAGATACAAATCTGACATAACTCATAAATTTTTCAAAACAATATTTAAATAATGAAAAACTCAATTAAATGACATCCGTATCATGTAACACAGAGCTTATCATGTTACATCAACCATTAAATAAATGAGATTTGATCTTATTAATTAAATGTTTAAGTAATCAATTTGTTGCAACACTATTTCATTAATAACTGATAACGATAATGAAGAAAAAAATAGCAATTCATCATTTTATTTAAATTTCGCTGCGTTTAATTTGATAAACTATAATTTATCATTATTATTATTATTAATAAAGCATAGCTTGATGAATCGTTAAGTTCACCAAGAAGGCGATTGATTATATGTTGAAAGAATTCAATTTTTTCAGGCATTTATTACTGTGTCGTGTAACTCTTGGTAAATCATTCCTACAATTTTCGGCAATGAAGATGGCTCATGCACCGCCAGGACATCATAGTGTAATGGGTCGACCATCGCAAGGGGGTTTAGCATTTCCGGAATACGTTGTGTATCGTGGTGAACAGGCCTATCCCGAATATCTCATAACATACCAGATTGTACGACCGCAGCAACAACAACAACAACATCAACGAGATTCTGTTTTAACAAGTCTTAATATTTCAACTAATGAAAGTACCGAAGAACGCAGTAATGTCAGTCTGAGACGGTAATTAAGAACTTTACTATCATGTGGTGCATTAAGAAAGCGTTTTTTTCATTGTTGTTATTGTTATTGTTGTTGATATTATTATTGTTAATATTTCCATTAATCATATTTCTATTATAACCGTCAATAATTGAAAATTAATTATTTGTGTGATAAAAGAATCATTTGAGTAAATTTCATACATTAAATGGATATATTAGTATACTTCTTCATTGATATAAGTTATCGTCACAATGTATAATACAATATTTATAAATAATAATTCGAATATCAAGGCGCATTTCTATTATTATAATCGAAATTCATTCACTATAAACAAAAGAAATTATTTTTTATAAAATCATTAGCTATAACGATAATACAAAAATACAGTGTTCTAGCTTATTTATAATTAATTATAATTATTAATAATTGAAAAAAATAATAAGTTAAAAATATTTACCCGATTATCTCGATGTATTACATTCCTTTTAATTTTTTTTTATCACATGAAGTTGTTACTGAAAAATATCGGATAAAATGAAATAAGACAGTTTTTATTAAAAATTCATCCATTTCAGACTGAGCATAAATTAATTATAAATATTTCTGTAGGATTTTTGTAAAAATAATTATGTTTTGTAGATGGTTGGTTAATACTATGTTATTTAAAAGTCGGTGTAGACAACACTATACGATAACCCACAAGGCGCTGGAATGACACATGAAATCATTGATAATTTTGAAATCAGAAACAAAATTCTTCCTTGTTATCATTCTTAACAGTCCTCTGCATTATTTATAAATTAATAAGAAAAAGAAGAAAACGAAAATAAAGAAAGTACGTTTTTATAAACGAGAGATAATTTTTTCTATCAAATACCAATAAGTGTAATGATAGTAGTATAATTATAAATTCAATAAAAATTATGATAAGAATAAACTTGAATCGAATTCATTTATTGATGTATAAAAAAAATAATAATATGTGTATTCTATTACTGTACATGTGCATATTTAACATTCCACACTAAAGTCAAGTGGTGTCTCCATTATTAGATACAGTAGCTATCGGTTCACCACCATCATTTCACCTGCACGTGAACTCGATCGACTTTCAATTGGCTCAGATGTATTGATCACGTGAAAAACACGAAGATATTGGTGGTACTATCTATCTCCACAGCAGCTAATAATACAATACACTTGTATAATAAGTCACAAATTTAATGTCTTGTGATAGTAGCAGTGGTCGAAAAAGTCACCGACAATTAAACGTGGTGGTGGTATTGATGGAGATGGTGATAATAATGATGATTTTGATGGTGGTGGGAGTTAAGAGTAGGGAGCAACTCGTGTCAAATACAACCCAGTGATGATAAACATATACACTGAAATGATATTAAATAAGAAGTTAAGAATAAGCTGAGGAAAGCTCAGTATCCTATCACTGCAAGTGCGTACGGAGTACATGGCAAGATCCCACGTGTAACTAAATACTTGATGCATTTATATTCACAAGTGATGAATTTTGTAACAAATCTTGTTTTATAATAAATTTAACAATTAATTTCACACAATTATTATCTTAAAAAAGAAATTCTGATCAAATTTTAATTATTTTATCAATTTGTTTTACAATTATAATTCATAATTTACTTATTATAATTGTCTCTGAAAGTGTCATTTCAAGTTATAAACATTGCAAGTGTAATAATTCGTAGTTTACGTTCGGATCAATTACAATTTACAGTTTGACCGAAGCTGTCAGAACTTGTTAACTTTTTTTTTTAATCTTATATACGATCTTTTAATTTAACTGACGTGTCATTGTGATAAAGGTATGCATTACTAATTGAATTCACATTTTTCCTCAGCTTATAGAATTGCTATATACGTGAATCATTAGGATATAAATAAAAAACAAAAAAAAACGTAGATTTATTTTAAGCCAGACATTTATGTCTTCTTGGAATTGACATGTTTTTGTATTTTTTTAAACCCAAACTAAATCTACCGGCCTATTTATATTCTATTTATTCAATAAAATTTTTTATTGGGTAGCCAAATTGTTATAAAATTAAAATTAAGCTCATTGAAAGCCATAAAAAATTTTTTAAGCGTCTGTCTGCTCCAAATTGGACTTAATAGAATGGTTTATGAAGATGTATCTTCATACATTTTAGCTATTAATAATCTCCACTATAAATAAATTTAACGTTTTAACTGTTAGAAATAAAATAACTCTATAATATGCAAAGGCGATTCAATGGCACGCTTATGAATGTCATGCCAAGTTAACAATATCATGGTGACAATGTTTAATCTTATCATACGTTGAATTCATCAGTTAAATTGTGACAATCGCTTTATGAATTATGTTGATTTTTTATTTTAATTTTTGAATAATATGACTTAATACTGTCGACAACTACTTTAATATATATATTTTATATTTTATCTTCAGTTGAAGTAAAAAAATTGACTTAATTAAAACTTAAATTTTTATCACCAATGCTTGATGTATATGATCCCAAACATAATACTAATTTAACCGATAACACATTAATATTTAAATTTAAGAACTTTTATAAAATTCATCAATGTATATACAATTTATATGATTTTTAATTTTTCTTGTTTCTTTTGTGAATACTGTACAAATGTAAAAACGTATGCAAACGATGCACGTGAGTTGTTGAGATATGCTTGGTGTATTTTCAAAGCGTAAGATGAGATGCTTTTAACACGATTTCGTGAGCATGAAAAACAAGGTAAAATGAATGAAAAAAGATGCTTCTGTATGTTTCTATAATTATGTATTTTCATGAACATAAAAAAAAAAAATGTAAAATATAAAATTAGCTTAAAATTGATGAATAATTTTAAGTACTTTATTTTGACTTTGAACTAAAAAAACTAGGCCAAAAGCCTCATTCACTTAAGCAAAACTAATTTTAGCTTTTTTGAATTTAAAATTTATTTAATTCATAAATAAATTGGACTGTATATAATTCTGGTCGTCTCATGCTTATTTACTACTTTTGATGAATTTTTAATCAATAAGCCGAAACTTTGTGATAAATTTTATCAGAACTTCGGATCATTAAATGATCAAAAAGTTTTGGATTAACTTCAAATTTACAATCTCAGTTTATTTTTAGTTTTTATGACATTGTGAATATAATCTTTTGTTTTTTTCCATGATTCTTTTAAAGCTGTGCTAACTCCTTTTTGTCTTCTGAAACCTTGACATTCCTCGAATTGTTTAAATTTTATTCCAAAAATAATTTAAGAGTATTCTTTATTTTGAATATGATTCAATTGAAATTTTAATAAAAATGTTTCGTTAATTTACAGGTTTAAATGTGTTCCTTAGCGGTGATGTCGGCAGAATTATTAGTTGGACGTAGTCCACCAGCAACATACAGTGGGCATCATTTCTTTTGTGCCAATTCTCTATTAGCGACAGCAGCATCTCAATCACCAACGATAATAGGAAGTTCTTTAACATCAACCACCACTACGATAGTGTCCGATACGTCGACACCAGTTGCCACAGTCAATAGGATATTGAGACCTTGTCTATCATCAGGATTATCTAAATTATCACAACCGGCAGTTGATGAATCTTCATTATGCAAAAATAACAGTAATCAGCCAACGAAGAATAATAATATTAAAACTACTATTAAAACTACGTCAACCATAACAACTTCTGGCTTTAATAACATTGGTTATAAACAAAAAAAGAAAGTGGTATTTGCTGATGACCGTGGGAGACCTTTAACTCAAGTAAATAGTTTATTTTTTTCAACTTTAATAAATGATGCTAAAAATATATAAGATAGGGTAGGACAAAAATGAATTGAAATAAAATGATAGCCATCACGAACCAGTTTCAAACTTTTTTTTCGGTCTTTTTTTTGTTGATAAGAAAGTTTTAATTTTACTTATTTTAGAATTTTATTCGTCTACCTTGAGGGTTTTTTAATAAAACACGTTCAAAACCGGAGATCTCTTATTAATAGTGTGTTTATTTTACTTGATATAACTTTTTCTTTTAAATTATAAACGTAGGAAAGAACAGGATAATTATGAGCACGAATAGGATTGAAAAGAAAAATTACATAAAATTGTATAATTAATCAAATAACTTGTTGTCACTTGATTCAATGTAAAAAAAAAAAATAAAATCTACCGGATAAAGATTAAAAAATACATATTAAAAATTTAATCTTATTAATATTTCTGCTATTGATAGATTCTCATAACAGATGATTACTGATTTTTAATACTTGACGCAACATCTATTTTTTTCTCATTTCTGAGTAATATCAAAAATAAAAAAGAGTTAGAAAGTTTTTATAAATATTTCCATCTAGATAACAATTTCTAACATCAAAGGTTTTATACTTTTCTTGATCATACTTATAAGTACTTCAAAAATGTAATGATAATTATTTCACTTAGATATTTCCTTTAATACTCATAATTAGCCTAGTGTACTCTATAAAACTAGTAATTTGTTCATTTTTATAATTAATCTCATTTTATAATACTCTATTATTATATTAATTATATGAAATTTTTAAACTCCGCAATATCATAAACTATTCTACCTATTGTCATAATAGATAAAAATGAAAAATAATTATTTCAACAGGTTCGAGTAATGACAGATACACTGTATCCACTACCCCAATCGATGCAGAACTCATTTTATCTAAAGGACTTCACTCAAGATGATCAAACCATTCCTAATTTGTGGACTTTATCATTTCAACTACCGGCAAGTGATTATCTAACTTTCAAGAATAAATTGGAACAAAACGCAGTTTGTTTAGAACATGTGACAATCAGTCAGAAAGATGATGCATGTCTATCTGGAACAGTTAAAGTGAAAAATCTTGCCTATGACAAGCAGGTCATCATTAGAGCTACTTATGATCATTGGACAACACATGAAGATATTTTCTGTACCTATGTTGATGTGCGACATCAGGTTCAAGCTAAGAATTTAAATTCTTCAGACATGATGCAACAAAAAAGACAACCTGTTATTCACAATTTATATGACACTTTTCGGTTTCAAACGTATTTGCCATTGAAATCAAATTGTGTTGAGTTTTGTGTTTGTTATCGAGTGAATGAAACTGAATATTGGGACAATAATGATGGAAAAAATTATTCTATTCGAAGACAGCCACCCAAAGAGGTAATTCTTGATTTAATTTAAAAACCAATTATGGTAAAAAATTGAATGAAAAAAAATCCTACTGAAACTTTTTTACTTTGTAGTCAATTAAGATCAATAATAGACAATGCTGCTTACATTGAATTTTTTTTTTTGGAATAATATAAAATTAATCCGGTGTCCATAATAATTTTGTCATATCCGGAAGTCACCAATAAAAGCAGATTTCAAATCAAGCTTTCAACTCAAAGATCAACTTTCGCGAAAACTGTATAGAACTCATTTTCATATCAAAGTATAATTATAAACTGAATGCGTTATTCAATTAATTACTACCAGACTAATAATTTCTAACGGTAAAGTATGATTAGAAAATTTATGATGATTCCATTTCGATAAACCCCTTTGGGTTTCTAATCTTAAGTGTGAGCAATTTATTAGTTTTATGATATCAAGGGTCGCGTATTTTTAAATAAAGGTAAGCTTTAAATAAGCTGGTATGATAATTTTTTTCTATTATTGGAATACTATTATTTAGAAATAGAATGTTTTGAAACATAACGTTTACACAATTGTAAATATAAATGAGTTGATAACAGTTTTTGAAAAACATTTCTTATATATTTAATTTTTTAAAAAATTCATTATAAGCATGTTGATTGATACTTTATCATTAGAACTTAACTTCAATAACAAGTTGGATTTTTTTCTGCATTTATAATGAATAGTTTTATAAATTTTCACATCATTTTTTATTGTCTATTCCAGCTTTCTCCACACTTGTCTGCCAAAACACTAGAAAAAATTCAACAAGTTGCAGCCACAAATATATTACTACCTTTATCACTAAGTAATCTTGTTATAGACAACCAATGTGTAAGTCATCAACAAATCAAAAATAAGCCTATGGAAAAGACGAAAGTTAGTAATATGAGGGCATGGAGTAGTGAATTTACTTATTGGCAATATGTGAATGATGACAGAGTACCATATTGGTAATTTTATAACCACATAACTACATGAAATTATATAGGACTGTACTTGTTGGAAGAAGAGGGTGCAACTAATGCAGATATTGAAGATTGTAAAGAAGAATATAATAATAATTGCCATTTATTACTGATAACTGTTAATATAAAACCGGTGTTTATATTAAGTATGATTTTTGTCATATTTTATTTTATATCAACTTTACTTGATACTATTAAGAAAGAGATTTCAACTGAATTGTATAAAACCTTATTTTAATGCATTATATGCACCTATCTCAATTTAAGTGATACAAACAGGAAAAAATAATATATATTTATATACTCAAAAAATGAAATTCAAATATTGTAAAAAATATCTTTAAGATAAGAAACTATGACAATAGTATTTTTGTCCATTCAATAGAATAATTAATTATCCTACTATTATTGTTAAAGACGATAAATAATGTAATAAGAATAGTGTAAATTACTGAAGACAATTAAGAGACTGATATATTAAATAATAAAGATTAATTTTATGAGTCACATTGAAAATTAAATATCTTCAGAAAATTTTCCATTGAGAGATTTTTTTTAACTCTTATCTTTTATAATAATATTATTGATGATTAGGTTAAGCAAATGACAATAAATGTTATAATTATGTTTTACATATAATATAGGCTATTGTATATGTTAATGGAAACTCATGCAATAATTATCAATAAGGATGTAAACAATGCGATTACAATTTTATAAATAGTATATAATTAATAATACGAACTACATCGTTTAAGAAGTGAATTATATAATCAGTTAATCGATAATTTAGATAGTATTTTGATTAAAATTTAATGTTAATTAAAAAACTTGCAAAATTCTTTCACATAAAGTTAATTTTAAAAGTAGTTTAGGTCATGTAGATTTTGATATTTAATGACTGTTGATAATTGTAATTTTTTATAGTAATTATTATGTTGGAAGTTATCGTGGTAATATTATTAATCTTAATAAACATTCATTTTAAAGTCAACGACGCCATTAATTATAGAAACAAATAAAATGCTATTTTCCCATTGAGATTAATTATTGAACATGTTTATAGTAATATGCGGTATGGAGAAATATACAAAGGTATTTAAATTGTAACTTTTTGGAAATTAATAAGCAATAATTGAAACTGAAATCAAAACAAAAAGATTTTCAATATACTGTTATTTTTATCTTGCCATTTAATGTATATTGAAAAATTGACCATTAGACAGTTCAAGTATTCATAATTGTAAATAAAACAAAAAAATTTTTTAATTGGAATAAGTCAACCTTTGTTATTCGATGATAAGAGATTATTCTGTCCAGAGAACTAGAAAAATTTTTAGTATTAATAGTTATAATAACATTAGACTAAGTAATTATCTTCTGCTACAAATATTATATCTTGTTTTTGTTGAATTTACACTATATCAATTACTCAATAATTAGTAAAAATTGTCAAATTCATCATATAAATTACTTTTGTAATTAATCCCTTGTAATTTCTACAAAAATGAATAAAGATTTTATTAAAAAAATAACAGATGTGAATTTTTTGATGAGTTTTTTTATTCAGTCCATACAACATGTTCAATCCAATCAAGATATGAGCTAACTTGAGTATAAATTGCTGGAGAATTTTTAAAGGCACAAAATTTTCCAAAACTTGTTACACCAACAATGCTGTACATACAATAAGGCGTATGCAATACTCTTTGAAGAGGTCCTCCGCTATCACCCTGCAGTATTATCATATTTAGAAAAATTTGATATGTACGTAGGTGGAATATTGCAATATAATTTCAACGTGTTTACACCTACGTACTTGACAAGTGTCTTTTCCACCTTCCATTATGCCAGCACATAACATACTGGGAATTAATCCTTGGGGCATTTGCCTGCTACCTACTTCTGATTGATAATTTCTCTGACAAGTTTCTGGGCTTATGTAATCTAGAGTGACTTTCATTAAGTCATCACTGCCATAATCTGCCTCTGCATTTACATTCATTAATAATGATTATTATTATTATTAACAAAAATTATAAATAAACTTCACAGTAATTATGTTACAGTTACACACCATAAGCAGTTTTACCAAATCCACTAGCAATGAAATGCAACTTTCTAGTCATACTTAATTCCTGCATTGATTCGACCTCTAAACATGCAGGTCTTATATATTCATTAAAATCAAGTGGTTGATCTAATTTCAAGAGAGCAATATCATTATATCGTAAAGGTAATCTATACTCTGGGTGTCCAATTCTTTCAACAATATCTCGTTCCTGCATTGTAGGCTCTAGAGCTTTGGTACTAATTGTTCCAACTCTTACTTTTATTGCTGGTCCTCTGTCATTATTATATTAATAATAATCATAATTAATTTTTATAGTTATCATACTAAATAAATTTAAAGTAACCTAGGTTTGCTTGATTTTACTTATCAGTTGAATTAATACAATGAGCAGCAGTTAAAATGTAATCTTCTGAAATCACTGAACCTCCACATTGCCAAGAGATAACGTCCTTTCCATATCCTATCATTGCCTAAAATGGAATAAATTAAATATTATTCAAAGTTTGTAGTGCAAAAATGAAGTATAATACCATATGTGGAAATTCCATGGGTTTAGCTTTTACACCTCCTACAATAAGAGGTGTTTCAACAATTCCACATTTAGAAGTAATTTTTTTTTGGCCAACATCAATACGCAGCACTGGTGATTCTTCTTCGTGATATACTAAATTTGCATATTGTTCACATTCTATAAGAATTAAATAATTAACAGCTGTTCCAACTTCATTTATTAATATCATTTAAAACTTATAAAATTATACTTTTTTGCGATATTCTTTTAGATGACGTAGTTTCATGAAGCAGCAAAAAATGAATGAAAATAAGTAATTCAATCAATATTTTCTTTTTAATAAAATAAAAAATCATGTTGAGAAACAAGGATAATAACTAAATCAATGATTTATAAAAGTAAACAATTCCGGCTCTCAGTATTGAATTGATTCAACTGTTGAACGATTAAAAAATTCAATTACATATAGATTCGAACCATGTGGACAGTTTATGCTCTATAAATTCATTCGTAATTTCAGTTTACTGTTTGAATAATGATTGATAAAAGCTATTGGATTTTATGCACATGTGTATTATACTTTATTGGTCAAAATATCTTAATAGATCAGCAATGAGTAAAGTTAGCAATATTCCCTTCTAAGAATTTTAGTCAAAGTACTCAAATATGAGAATAATATATTCCTCATTAAATTCGTAGTAACTGTTAATGCGTTGATTCAGTTAATTTATAATTAATCATTTGAATACGTCATAGAGTGACTCATTTAATATTTATTCATAAAAAAGAACTGAAAGGTAGATATTATCTCATAGATAAAATCTTTGCATTCCATGTATACCAGTCATCTTATTTTCCGATTATGATTAATTCAGCTTATAAATTTTTTGTCAGTGATAAAATGTCAAGTAAATACCACTCTATTTTGATGCGACTCCAATATTTTTATTTTTTTATTTTCGTATTTTTTCTTTAATCGAGTCATTAACTATAATTATTATCCCTATCACAAGTTGAAAAGCAGAGATATAATAATAAATTTAATTAAAGGATGCTCTTAATGATAAGTTGGATGATTTATTTATTTGTAACTGGAAGTTTGTAAGGATACAAAATAATTTAGTCATCTACAAATCATTGTAATATTGAATAATGCTTGGGAAAATTAATCAAGAGAATTCCCATATTATTTTGCACTTCCACTGCGTAAACAATTGACTATTCTGAGGACATATTATAAATATGTATGTTATTTTACTAGTAACGTCATTGCAGCGCAAATAATTATAATAATCGCAACAACGATAATAATATATTTGCAACTCTCAGAACAGTTGATGATACTTTCATGCACGGAATTGATGAGGTAAAAGATTTTTTTCAAGTGATAGTCAAAGAAGTTGAAGTAGTAGTAGTTGTAATACTGGTTTTGGAGGAAGGAAATTTCGTGAGATAAAAAATGATGCGATGCATTCTGTAGTTCAGACTACTATAGAAGGTCAGCAAGTAATGTTGTGAGTGAATGTAAAGATCAAATTTCAATAAAATAAATTTTGTTGCTAAAATCCATTTTAAATAAATACTCTTCTCTAATATAAACTATATTGAAGAGTATTAGACTCAACATGTTATTTAATAGACATATTTTGACTTTTGTCATTTTTTACTTCTTAAGAGTAGCAAACACAAAACGTTATGAAGGTAAAGTGAGATTTTGAGTAAATTGAAAATTTTAAAATTATCTTGAAAAACTTTTAAAATTTTATTTTAATTGAAATTAATTGTTCAGGTGATTCGTGTACCTTAGATGATGGTACACCAGGAGAATGTAAGGACTTGATAAACTGTCCAAAAGTTTATGACGATTTATTATCAGGAAAATTGCCACAAAAATATATGTGGATACAACAACTATGAACCAATTGTTTGTTGCAATAGCAATAAAAGAGTATCTACAACATGGTCTCCACCAACGACAACGACGAGAAAAAATACAGAGTTTGAATGGAAACCTCTAGGGTCAAATACACGTAGACCTACTAGAAGACCTTCTACCACTTCGACTACTACTGAATTTTATACTCATGATGAAAGTGGCCTTTTCCCTATGAGCAATCAGAATAGCAATAAAAACAATGGCCATCAAGAGATTAGAAGAAAAGTGGGCGATTTAGCTAAAGAAAGTAAGCTTGATATCAATTATCATCATATCATATTAGCACAACATATTTATCATTTTAATTTTAACACTGACTACACTTTCTTAGACATAATAAAATTCAAATATTTTTTTAGAATTTCAAAAGTTATTTCTATGCTAATTATCATATCAATCTTTCGACAGAATGTGCAGAATATGCAAGTTTGGTATATACTACAGTAATTCCACCAACACTAACAGGAAATCGAAAACCTGTGAATGAATCAACATGTGCAATAAAATCTCAAAAACTAATTGTTGGTGGTAAAAAAGCTGCTCCAAAGGAATTCCCTCTTATGGCTGCTGTAGGATTTAATAGTAATCCTGATAATGATGTAAATTATAAACCTGGGAAAATTAATTGGTTGTGTGGTGGAACCCTGGTATCTGATAAATTCGTTATGACTGCAGCTCATTGCATTTATTCAATCGACTAGTAACTAAAAATTTAAAATATATTAAATCATAAATTTTAGTTAACAAAGAATAAAGATATAATTATTTTCAGTGGATACGCATCTTGGATCAGAGTTGGTGATTTAAATTTAGAAAAAAGTGATGATAATGCGAGACCTCAAGAACGTAAAATAGTTGAAAGAATTTCTCATCCTGACTATAGGAAACCACTTGAATATCATGATATTGCATTATTAAGGATGGAACGACCTATTGTTTTTAATTCTTGGGTCAGACCTGCTTGTTTATCAACAAATACTATTCCAACATCCTCAGAATATGGAAGAGTTCAAGAGACCAAAGCTCTTGCAATTGGTTGGGGTCGAGTTGACTGGGGTATCACTTACATTTTTTTATTGAAAAAATTTTTTAAAAATATCATAAATATTTTTGCTGAATGCATTTTATTAACATCATTATCATTATCTTTACAGTATCCTGTTTATTCTATAATTTGATTTACTCAAGCATTATTCGATATAAACTTAGTCTTCATCGATAATAACATTTGCAGACTATTTTACTTCAATTTTAGATCAGAAACTGTTTTGACCTAGTTTTCTCAATACCTGTTTCTTGATATTAATGTTAAAATTTAATTATTATGATCTTGGAAATTGTACTTCATTTAACTTCATGTGCCTGTGTGCAAGCTATAAACTACAACTTTTCAAGTAGATAAATAATTATCTTATATCTTTCAGCTGATGAAGAAGGGTCTAATGATCTTCTCAAAGTGACTCTTCCGATTGTACCTCACAAGAGATGTAATGAAAGTTTTATTGGTGGTGTTGCTGACTACAAACTTAAATTTGGAATTGTAGATCAATGGCAAATGTGTGCTGGACAGGAAGGTAAAGATACGTGTCAAGGTGACAGTGGTGGGCCTTTAGTGGTTTTCAGTAATAATCACAAATGCATGTATGATGTAATTGGTATAACAAGTCTTGGCCGATTATGTGGTAGCATAGTTCCAGGTGTTTATACTCGAGTTAGTAATTACATATCATGGTTAGAAGATACCATTTGGTCTAATTAAATCAAATTATATAATTTGTTGATAAAATGAACAAGTAATAATTTTAAAACGTAATCATTATAGTATTTACATAAATGACGTTTTATTCTGCAATTCCATTTATTACTCTGTATTCTTCAAACTCTTTTTGATACATTTTTTATTATTTTTAACTATTTATTTATAATTAAAATCAATTCAAGCCAATCACAACATAACAAGATATTTTTTAATTATATAATATAATATAATATACTATAAACCCTCAATTTATAGAAATGTATTGAGTTTAAAAAGACTTTTTGTAAAATATTATTAAAAAACCTAGTCTTGATTATTCGCTTAGTATTGTGTATAAGTTATATGAAATAAAAAATATTTAAAAATTAAAATGCATAAAAGCAGTAGATTGTTGCAAAAATTCGTAGACCTTATCAATCAATTATTTTTGTAAAAACTTTTTGATTAATACTTTATTAAGCTTACGCACACAATATAAAATAAGAGCAGCAAAAATATTGTTACTGTTATGTCCGACACTTTAGTTGTGTGATTCATTAAAGTATTATAAAATTAGTAAACAATCGATAATGATCGTTTGAACTCATATTGACCAAGAAATGAGTAGATAAAAAAATTAAAATAAACAATTATGAAACATTAGAGTAAGCTATCCAATCTATCCTCTATTAATTCTACTAGTGGTGTCATCAATTATTCTATAATTTTAAGATGTAGACAAGATTGGAACAGTTTACCTTATATTAAAATAATAACATTTACTTTTACACACTTTTTTTATAAGAATAAACTCTAAAAGAACTATTTCGCAAAGGAGTTTTGATTATATTGCTTTGATTTCCATAATTATATATTTTTCTAAGATCAAGGTTTTTATTAAAGCTATCTTAGCTACCCTTGATTTTTAAGCTTAAGTTTGAGAATCTGGAAGTCATTTGCTAAATTTTGATTTAATTACTTTCACCAACTACTTCAGTAGTCACACAATCTTGATTTCAAGGAAGATATTATTTTAAATGTAAGCACGTTAATTCATTCGCCTATTAGTGTCTGTATACTGATATAAAACAAATTAAATAGTTCATAATTAAAAAATTTTGAATCTGTGGAATCAGTATTTCAGGAGTAAATACTTTAACATTAATAGGCTAATGATCAACAAATTAATTTGTCTTTTTAAATTAGCTTATTTTTGCAAATAAGCTTATATATATGTACGTAAAGATCCATGTAATATTTTTAAAAAATATTATTCATTTAATAAATAAGATAGTCGGACATACCATGGCTATGAAAAAAGAACTCAAAAATTTATTTGGCTACTTAATTCATATAAAAATAAAGATATCACAATACATATTGTGAATATCATTTATCATTTAATACTGTATATGAAGAGAATTGTTTTTACTTTCATCAATATAACTTTTTTTTATGAAACCATCAAAGATTTAATTATGTGAAGACGTAAAATTATTATCTAAAATAGACATAATTTTGTTTCCAGCACCTGGAATATCCGGTACAACGGTAGTAGTAATATTTGAATCAATATGATTTAAACAATAAGGCATTATTTGACCATGATTACATGAACTTATGGTATTATCACGAAAAATGATAAGATAAAGCCCTGTAATCGCAGTAAATGCGCCTGCTGCAAGAAGCGCAATAGCAGGTACTTTTTTCATAGAGAACACCGGTCCTTCTTCTAATTTAATATAACATAAAGCTGGAAGCACATATGCTAGTGGCACTGCAGCCAATATACCATTTAGCTCAAGAACAACTCCAAGACAATCTTCTGACATTGATATAAAATATGCACAAGTTATGATTCCCATTGTTATCAAGAAATATCGTCTGTCAGATCCAGTATACATATCATGATTTTCTGTCTCTGCTGTACCTTTTATTGTTGTTAGAACGACCTGTTCAAGAAGAATAGAATAGAGTTTATTTTATCAATGCTTGTATCTAGTTTTCAACAAACTTTTTTTGTTTCTCATCTTTGAGACAAAAATTGTTTATCTTTCATCGTATAATTAATTTTGAAATAGCAAGTTTTAAAACTTCAGTTTATTCAAATGCAAAGATGAAAGTATTTTCAATGTTAAAGATAGAAGAATTACCTCACGAGTCACAAAGCACTCAATAGGAAAAGTGAGCAAGATAGTTCCACTGAATAATACTCTTGAAAAATTCATAAGGTCATCATCCCAACAATAATTTTCCATGAGATCTCCTTGTACAAGACTTGTAAATGTAACATAACCAGTAATTCCAAAAGCTGCAGCAATAATAAAAGATGTAAATAAAGACCAGTGTGTGACTATATTCCACTTCTGCTGAGTAGCACACTCAATTGATCTGTATATAAGAAATGTATTATGATGGCACATAAATGCAAATGCCATTATTCCAACGGATGGTATTACTCCTTTTAAGTTCGCAAATCTCCAACTATCTGTTTTATTTGGGCTAAAATAAAATAATTTGTTTTAGTTATTTTTTCTCATTTGATAATAGTCAAATTTTCAACTAAACTGAGTTATAAATATTTAAAAAAACTTCTGAATTTAAGAAGTAATTTGAAATTTAAAAATACTTTCTATTAAATCAAAATTATTTGAAAAATATTTAAAATACATATATAAAATCTAGTTTTGATTTATAGTTAATCAATATATTATTCAAGAGATATAACTTTCAGTTCAGATGATCATATCTTAAAAAAATATTCTACACGTTGTTTATTAATTTACATCTCGATAGTGAATTATATCTAATTAATGAAACCAACTGTGTATTTAACATAATCAGGTTTAGAGAGATCATTAAAAAACCAGAACAAGTTGGTCTTCTAGAGATGAATGGAAATTTACAAAAATATACTTTATATTCAATAGCAGGTAGAAAATTCGTTATGAGACAAGATAATATTATTTATACCCTGAAGGGATTTTCCAACTTTAGTTTTCTTTGTAAATTCGCTTGCTTATTTTACATAATTTACTTACATGAGAGCTGACATGGAACCAATTCGGATGAAAATTGCCAAAAGAATAAATCCAATGCAGGCAAGTGAAAGAAAAGAGATTTTCGCAAGCCGAGCAACATTTCTGTACAAACACAATGGAATAGTGATGCATAAAGTAGCTAATAGTATGACAACTTCTCTTTGAGCAAAAATACTATCTTTGCCAACACCTGTTACTCTGATAATTACTTTAGTTACTGTATCACCCACAACGATGTTATAAGATATCATAGCTGTAAATATTTTTAAATATATATTCAAAACTATTCCTATTATCTTTTCATAGTTATCTAATTGTTATAGATTTATAAATACCTATAAATGGATAAAAAAATTGTAAAGTAGATAGAATGTAGAAACCAGGTCGTCCAAAACTTGCTCGCATCAAGCCTTGATAACTCATTTCACCACAAATGTGTCCACTTTTCACCATAAGAATAAGAGAATAATCTGTCAAAATTGCTACTATAATTAATAGAAGAATTCCTAGGCCAAACCCTGATTGATAAAGAGCATATGGAATACCTGAAGAAAAAAAATAACAGTTGTGATTTCACTTCTTTTATACTAAAGTTTTTATCTTAACATCATATTAAAGAACTTATTTCAAATATAGAAGAGAAGTAAATTCTAGAAGATGATTACGAATAATCATGAAAAATAATTATCCTCACCGATAACACCACTGCCAATAATAGAATTTATAAAGTTAAAACTCGCCATGAGAACAGAAGAAAATTTTCCTGCATTTGGATCATCGTCCTGTAATAAAGTTTATCTTCTATCAACAATTAATTACAGTTTGACGTTTAGTTATTAAACGATAATTTGAATACGATTAAAAATATCTCTATTGTAACAGCAACACCAACAGGAAATATAAATGTAGATTGATACGAGCAATATCATAGAGTAATATAATAACTAAACTCCTTGACTCATGATATTAAATTATTTATTTCCGTGTTTTATTGCTTTATTACTGATATTACTGAACTCTGTTTACCACAAACAGCTTTTAGTTAAAATTGATCAGTTATCAGTTGTAAAAAATTGATTGTTTCAGTAAAGAACAAATTTTTTGATTATTTAAATTGGATGATAATATCGACTTATCGATTCTACTTCAAAAGTTCATTTCAAGTGATCTATATAGCTCAAATATTTGTGGTATTCAGAAACCAGTTTACCGGCATTCTTATAAGCACTTATTTATATTAAAATGAAGGAGCAAAATATTTTTTAATCTTACCAGCATAAGTTCTCTCAGGTCATCACAGGAATCATCAGTATCCACACTTCTAACATTTTGCTGAATTTTTAAATAATTATCACGTTATAAGTAGATAAAATTACAAAATATCAAAAGCAAAAATAAAATGTGTTGTACCAAAATCGTTCATTTTTTCCTCAAGTAAAAAATAATTTTATATTGTAATATGTATAAAAATAAAAAACTCTGTTAATCGATACGATAAATAATACGATAATTAATTTGGAATATTTTTAATTTTTCCTCATTATAAAAGAAAGCAAAGTTTCTATTTTTTTTTCATCATTTTGTTAATAAAGGTTTCTATATTTAGTTACATTTCTCTTCCTGGGGAAAAATGATTAATGGTAAACTAAAAGACTAAGAGCGATCTTATTGATTGATTACACATTGACGTAAAATACGTCAAACTAAATACATAAAATGAATATTTAACACTCTTTTCGTAAAATTAAAATATTTTATACATTTATTTTTTTTCCTGCTTTTTATATTTAACCATATCATCCCTTCAATCAAATTTCTTTTAATTTTGAAAAAATAAGACATTCGTTATTAAGGAGAAATATTAATCTTATCTTATTTTTTGTTTGTAGCATTACATGTAAAATAATAATTATCGTGACTGCACTTAATATTGAATACAGTCGGTTGATTTGTTATCATTAAAATATAAATTAATAATTTTTTTTTATAATACATCAATTTTTGAAATAAAAAATATGTGTACATCATTATTTATGTTATGAACAAAATGTTTCGAAATTTAAAAATAATCCTTTGTTAATTTTGTGTAATAATATAAAAAAGCTTAACAATATTATTATAAAATAATTTAAATAAAAAAAAAACAACAAAGATTCAAGCTTTAATTCAAAAGAAAGTGTGCGCATTTTTAAAAAAGATGTAGTGTTGATATGCATGAATGATTTTCGAATGATTATATATTAAAAATCATATAAAAAATAAATTTATTTATTGAAACATGCTCACATCAGCAAAGTTTTTACGTTGATCCAAAATGTAGCTTTTTTCATTAACACTTTGTTGTGACATTTTTTATATTGTATTCACTTTTTTTTTTAAAAAAAACAAGTCTGTTTTACTATAGATTATAACATTGACAATTAAAATATGTTATCACTCAAAACTAACCCTACTTTTTGCAACAAATTATCAATTACTATGTTGTAGGGTCTTTTCTGAATGTTCAAGCAACATCGACTAATCAGAAGTGTTTTAGTAATAGGCGAGAGAAAATAAAATTCAGTATGGTATTTATTGATCGTCTCGAGTGCTGTTTAGACACTCTTGAATAAAGAAGTGGACATGAAGTCACTCGATTCGATTGATAGCGCCATTTTCCATCTAAACCGCATAAATGGAGTAGAATTTCAAAGAGCATAAACAATTTATTGAATGCTAACTCATTTAAAAATTATTCCTTATAATTGGAAGATTATTGAAAATGGATTTAAAGATTATGAACCCATTTTCTCAGAAAAACAAATGAGACGTTGATAATAATGAACTAAGAATTTACTTCTTAGATAATAAAAATACTCAAAATACCATTTTAATGGTAAAAAAACAAAAATAAACTTACCAACGATGATCTTTCTTTGACTCAGTCTATATTGGAGTATTATTGTTTTTTTTTGGTACAACAAATCTTTCAAAATAGATTTAAAAGTAAATAATGTAGCATGAATAACCACTTTAACACACTAAAAACCTTCACATTTTCAAACATTATTCACTATTTAATTCGCAAACATGGTCATTAAAAATAATTTTTAGCGCTGAAACCAATAGCATTGATGTAAATACATTCAAAAATGATTTAATATTTTAAATGTAAGGCATCAAATACACTAAATAAACTAAATAATTATTTATTTGAATATTCAACCTATAAAAATTGACGATGATGTTTGAAAACAAACGTTAATTGATTACCATCGATTTCTTGGAAATTTGATCAACCGAACTTCTGACCATTTTATTGTTGCTCAGAAAAATATATATGGCTGCATACCTTGTTTTAAGTTATAAAATAATAAAATAATGTCTCAAAACATAAGAGAACAATTCATCTTTCTAATTAATCTAAAATACTCAAATAAAAGCTTCTACAAACGAAAATTTGTAGGAAACTAGAAATGAATACTGCTGCCATTGCCATGTCGATTAGTTGCTTTCCATTGAAAGTACAGAACTGTTAGTTCTTTTTTCGAACTCTCTGACCACTTGGCGCTGCTTTCCACACATCGCTCATTTTATAACTCTGTTATTGCTTTATTCTATGCTTATGTTATTTATGTTAGTTCTATTGGCGAAAATACGAATCAAATATTATGGCTTTGCAGAATTTTATGCACGTTTACTAATATAAAACCTTGTTGTTACTTTCTACTCTCAGGAGCCCGCAAATATAATACTCAATATCTTGCGTTCATTTTTACAAGATTGTCTAGTTATCAAAAATTTTGAATGAGGTCAATTCAGTATTCAACGTTAATATTATTGTAATCGGTATGGTGTTAACCAGTGATAATTTATATAAATATCACATTTTTAAAATAATAAATTACTGTTGATATAGTTTAAATTTTTTCATACGTAGATCATTTGTATTTTCAGTTTCTGATAAAATGTCTCAGCAATTTGTAGGATGTATGGTATCAATAAAATGCACTGATGATTTGGGTACTTTTCAAGGTCAAATTGTGAATTTTAATCGGCAAACAGTCACAATTACAAAAGCTTTCAAAGATGGGGTACCCCATCCATCGCAACAGGTTACCATTAAGTATGAATTCTTCTTTCTCCATTTTTCACATGAATTATATTATTTTCTATAAGTGATTTTGTTCATATAATACCATGTTTCATTAATATTCCAGTGCTAAAGATATTCAAAATTTAGAAATAATTTCCACTGAAGAAGCAGGAAACAAAGATGTACAAATGCACAGTAAAGTAACTGTAAAAAGGCCGATAGCAAAGCGTGCTAACCGATCAATTTCTGAATGCATCCCAACAACTACCTCATCTACGGCTAATCAACTCCAATCAAATTACAAAAAACCTACTGAACCATCTCAACCAGATTCGTCATCTAATGGAAGAGTTGCTTCTGGTATAGAGTTATAGTTGTCTGTTTAGATGTTAAGTATTCTTTTTTTTAAATAAATTTAATAATTCGAAACAATTTTTGTAGCTGAGATAAACACCAAGTTCAATCAAAAAAGAGCCTCACAACGTCAAAGATGGCAAGAAAGAGATGAACAAGCTTTTGGAACACCGATTGATCAATCAATGAATCAAGATTTTGATTTTGAAAAAAATTTAGCACTATTTAATAAAGAGGTAAGATTGAAAAATTATTAGAGTGACATTATTTAAATAAAAGAGAATATTTATTGAAAGACATTGATTATAGGCTGTGTGGGAAGAATTAAATTCTTTAAAACCAGATATAGTTCGACAATCAGAAACGAATAGAGGCAAATACCGTCATGATGAAAATATTATAGTATCCAAGCCTACAACATATAGACAAATAATAGTACCTCTAAGTGATGAACGTGAATATGCCACAGATGATGGACTAGTGATACCAAGCATTACAGTTGAGCTTCATCGACAATTAATTGGAGCAGCTGATCGGCTTGGAATTAGCTGGGAAAGAAGAGTAATTTTTCAAAATAAAAATTATTTTATTTTATATTTTTCGTTTAAAATGAAATATGTTATAACATAATATTACAAATTATACAGGTTGAATTATTAGGAAGAGCTGGCACTGAAATTATTATTCAACTATTAGGAGGAGCACATCGATTGAACCCAAAAAATGCTCATCAATGGCCAACAATTGTTGCACTTTGTGGACCTCATCGTTCAGGTGCTGCTGGAGTTAATTGTGCTCGACAGCTTTCAACACATGGTATAAAAACAGTAGTTTATGTCGAAAATTCAGAAAACGTCTCTTTACTTCAAGAACTCTCGTTATATAAAATGACGGGAAACAAAGTTGAGATGAAAATGGATAAATTAGCGTCAATAAGCTCAGTTGATCTGATAATATTAGCACTTTTTGACGAACATTCATCGAAAAATAGCACACCTACAGTTGCTAAATGGGTCAACAGCAATAAGGCTCCTGTCCTCGCAATTGAACCTCCGTCTACGGGCACTCCGGGTATCTTAAGTAAATTTAGTCTCGTTGGGGGATTACCTTTATCGCATAGCCCAGATAACGGGCGACTATACCTTTGTAATTTGGCATTGCCAAATAAAGTTTTTTCTGATGTTGGAATTACTTATAGATCACCTTTCGGTCCTAAATTCGTTATTCCACTTCATTGTGATGATTCGTAATAGAATTACGTGAAATATTATTTTATCCAAAACAAAATATTGAAAAAATAGTGATATATTACATTAAATAATAAATTAATTTTAATAACTAATTATCTAAATTTGTTCATTAGAAAAATATTGGTTTTTGGTATAATTTTTTATGTTACTATTAATTTATTATTGATTCAATTTCATTTTTTCTTACGATATACTTATGTTAAATTTTCTCAATAATAGCGAATTATTTGATTTATATTTATTATTTATTGACTCTGAAAATACTAAATTTTTAATTTTGTCATCATCAACTGTATCAATTGAAGACATTGAATTATTGTTCTCATGGTAACTATTCATTTAATCAATTTTATTTTTCTGATCAATTTCAAATAATTTTAATTCAATGTTCAATTAGCAACACGAAATCATATATTTGTAAGTATTAATTGTGCATCATAAATTAAAAATGAATCATGTAAAATTTGTAATTATTTTCATGTTCATCAACATGCTTTAAAGTTTGTTGAAATTCATTATTTGCTCATACACAAATACATAAGATATATTTTTTATGAATAAGTTATAGAATGTTTATTGATATAAAATATATATATATATAGGATAGTTACTAAGTTTTAAATGATTTGTCTTCACAAAGACATGATATAGTACGACTGAAAAGTTAGGTCTGTAGTATGTGTTATCGCTGCAATTACTTTTGGCTATATAATTTCACTAACATGATAAACATGACAATATTCTATAATTCTATATTTGAATGTATCGTATTTGCAGCAAAAAAATCTATTTATCTCAGATGAAATATTTCTATTAATCATGATCTATGATGAATGATTGTTTATTATTAAGATAAAATATATATTATACATAATATTTTATAAACAAGATATCAAATATTACTTCCGTTTGGTTAATTGATTTTTATCAATCATGTCCTTCACTGTAATGACGTTATTTTCGTTACCGTTAATCGTGATTATCATGTCATGTTATATAAATATATTCATGTAAAATTATCTTAGTTGCACATTTCTTTTTTAATTTCGCCACACGCGTTATCTTGAAGGATTAAAATACAAGACTGTTATCAACCTATCGTCGTGGCATTCAGACGAGTGAGGGAGATTAATTTTATATTAGCATCATTGAGTATAGTAGTTGAAATAATTAATATCATTCATAATATATTCTAGCTTTATTGTGTTATTGCCTTGAGTTTTTTTCAATGTCACGCAATTCTTTGTGTTTCTTAATAAACCAACCACATAGATTAGCAATAAGTGGAATTAAATAAATAAATTTATTTTTATATTGTGGTTAAATATTCATCATTTATTTTACTGTGATAAATTGAATCGTCCAAATTTTATTAATAGTGTGTTAAATGAATTTTGATATAAATAGTTATTGTGAGTTTTTATGGTTTAGTTACTAAATATATTTACATCATTGGAATGCCTGGTACATCAACGTATCCAATGTACGTTGGACTTGAAAGACCAGCTCCAAGACGAAGAGCTAGTACATGGAGTACTAGAAGAAACTTAGAATATGTAGTACCTCAAAGGCCTAGTCGAATATCACTGGCTGAATTGATGGTAAAACTTTTATTTTTTATTTTTTTTTGCAAAACTGTAACATAATTTAATATTTCATTTTGATAGAATAATAAAACAATTGTTGAAAAATTGCAATAAAAAATGCTTAGCTTAGTTAAATATATATTTCAGTGGTTTCTTAATCTTTAATCTCCATTGATCTACTATTAAATCTGACTAAAAAGTTAATGTCTTTTTACACCTTGCAGAGTGATGTATATTATTGAGTTCAACTACGTCATTACTAAACTTTTATAATTTAATTAACGCTTGTTATATTTATACATATATTTATTTTTATTTTTAACAAATGACAGATTATCACTGACTCCACAATTGTTGGCTTTTTATATTCAAACACATGATTTTTGAAAAATTTTATGTGTATCTGTTATATTAATTTAAACTCCATTTAAAAATAATACTTATGTAGCAATTAGAGCGCAAATAATTAAAAGATTGTTTGTAAAATACGTATTAACTCTTCGATTGACTTCTGTTAAGATATTTAAAACACTTGTAACAAAGCAATGAAGTAGAACTACCGGTTGCCATGTTTGAAAATGGTTCGCTGTATGTCATATCCGCTGTCGTGATCGTTCAGTACGAAAGAGAGAGAAAGAAAGAATGATCAAGAAGAAGAGTGGGGTTAACACAAAATAGGTTTCTTGATGGCACATATGAAATTGTGATTTTTAATAAATTTCGAGAATATACAAAGTATTAAATTTATAAAGAAACATTTATTCGTTAAGAATATTAATGGCAGACGAACATGTGTATGGATATAATCCGACCACCGGCGTCGATAATGACAGTGTATGTAATTTTTGTGACATTTTGACAAGCAGAGGTTGGAATTAATGTCGTTGATAAATTTCTAATGAGTAAAAATTAACAAGATTTATTTATCATTGGTGTTAGTTTTTTTTCAACATATATTTTTTTTTTTCGTTGGTTTGTATTGCAATATTACAAGTTGGAGTAAAATATATGCATTATTATTGACGTCAACAATTGAAATAACACATTAATACGTTTTATAACGATTCAATTATATCGATTTCTTTATTTTTTATGAGCTATTTTACATTACTTATGGTATCCTTGACTACATTTTTTAATAACGATAAAGTTGCAAATAAATGAGTAAATTTTTTTTTTATATAGAATGATGAATCAATCAGCAGGCTGAGATTAAAAGTCATAGCAGGGCATCAACTTGCTAAAAAAGATATCTTTGGTGCCAGTGATCCTTACGTCAGGATAGATTTATATTCTATCAATGGTCATGAGACTGTCGACTCTGTACTTACAAAAACTAAGAAAAAAACTTTGAATCCTGTTTGGGATGAAGAGTTTTTGTTCAGAGTAAGTTTACATTAAATTTATGATATTCATTTATCTGTTAATATTATTTTTATGTATATATAGTATACACACGTATAAATGTAATGATTGTAAGCATGAAACATTAATATTAATTATCAATTATAATATTTCTAGGTGAAACCAGCTGAGCATAAACTAGTTCTTCAAGTTTTTGATGAAAACAGATTAACAAGAGATGATTTTTTGGGGATGGTTGAACTGAATTTGTTAAATTTACCTAAAGAACAACATGGCAGAACCATTCCAACTAAACAATATATTCTTCGTCCACGCAGGTAAGATGGTATTACTTATTCTAAGGTTAGGTTATATCAAAAACGTCTGTAAAATTTTAACTAATCGAGGATCATATTTTCTAGCCATTCCAGTCAAAGGCCAAAAATCAAGGGTACTTTAGAATTATACCATGCCTACGTCATAGATGATTCATCAGCAACTGCAGAAAATGGAGATGGTGATACTGCCTCTGACTCCGGATGGGAATTATTGGATCAACTAAGTCTAAATTCAATGGATAGTCCTCAATCAATGCCTGAAGTACTTCATTTTATTTCAATAAAAATATTAATCTAACTTTATAGAATATTAATTGACGGAAATTGCTCGTCTTTTAGACTTCATCGACTGGACCGTTACCACCAGGTTGGGAAGAACGACAAGATGCTAATGGTAGAACATACTATGTAAATCATATAGCTAGATTTACTCAATGGAAAAGACCATCTGTGTTAGTTTTTCTTGTAATTTTAAAAAATAATTTAAGGTTGCTTAAATAATTATATTAACGATTGACTTTGTGGTTTAGACAAAATACTGCACCTACTTGTGGCATCTCTAATGAGCAACGAAGTTTAGACACAGCAGCAACTGAATTTCAACGGCGGTTTCACATAAGTGTAGATGACACAGAAAGTAGACAACATCGCAATTCAGCTATTAGTCAGGTAATTTTTTTATCAGATATTATATCAATATACATCTATTTTTTTTATATTAACCCGTTGGAGATCATCAATTATACTGTAATAACGTTCAGCATTTAATTCATTTTCTTCTTACTAATTTCTGGCGATGAGTAATATCTTTGTATATTTAACCAAGCTTTAAAAGTAGTTTGCTTTACTATAATAAAATAAATCTTTTATGATAAAACCAATTAATACGCATGATGAAAAAATCTGTTATTCTCTGTATAATGATTATGATCGATGGTTAAGCAATTACTCTGTATACAGTGCAATTAGATTTTAGTATGTATGAATAACACAGGCTGACATTATTGCATTCAATTTTACAATTGATACAGAAAAATGTCTACCACTTATTCGTTATTACCCATCATGTTGTTTAAAATTTTTAATCGTTTTTTTGTAAATACTTGTGCATCATAAAAACCTAATTATAATAATATGCTACTTGTTTTTTTCTTTTATAATCGTCTTAAGAAAATTACCTTATTGACGATTTTTTAAATTGTTAGTGTAAATATTTTGTTTGTATAAAATGTACAATTGATTATAGTTATATTTGATGGGTAATAACAAACAACTGATGGTGATATTTAACTCTTGAGAAAAATTGTAACTTAATTGGGTCTTTTAACTCGTGATTCGATCTAAAACAAAGTAAAAATATGGTCACGAGTAGTAATTGATAAAAATAAATTATTCAATGTAATATGATTTTCATTGTACATTAAATGATTTCATATGATATCTATTGTTGTATAGATAATTGGAAAATTTTACTCTAATTTCTATTTAATGAGACCAAGTCAACATCAAGATAAAGATGTTAAGAATTTTTATGTCAGATATATTGAATATATTGAAGACTGTTAATTTTAAAAATATTTAGGTTACAGAAAAAGTTACTCATGGCTAACTATAAAAATATTATCAATGAACAAAGATATTAATTATACTCTGAGATATTATTTTCGGAATATTACCATAAAAATTTAATATTCACTTTATTATTATGGAATATAATTATTGATATCAATTATTCGTCATGATTATTAACGACGTAAAATGAACAGAAAAATTTCAATTAATTTTACTATATTTTCTTTGTGGAATTTGTTATGAATAATGAACAATTATTCTAAAACAATTATTATAGCAATGAGAAAAAATGATCATTTCTGCTAAGCAATAAATGAATACATTGATGTAACTTATAACATTATTTCAAATTCAACAGTAGGAAAAAGATGTTTTATCAATATCAAAGTAGTTGTCAATAAGATTATATAATTTAGTTACAATCATTTTTAGGTTACAATTAAATCTCTATATTGATAATTAATTATACAATAATTATTTTTACTAACGAAAATGAAGTTAAAGACTTTATAAGTATTCTTATATTCTTCCAACAATTATTGTACCTAAGTTACAATATTTTCTCATTTCCACATCAACTTAGATTTTAATACAATCATAGTTGGTGTAGTTAATGATGCCAATCCAAAATTAGTGCCTGTGTTATAATTTAATGTTTAAATTTCGTACAAAGTGGCATGAGGTATGTAGAAAATGACGCATGTGTGTGTAAGGATCGAGAATTAATTCGAGAAGAAGATGATGTCAGTAATGGAGATAGTGAAGATTCGAATGAGTCGGAACGTATGAGAGATCGTGGGGAAACAGGTGATGGGGATATATCTCCAACGAATTCTGGACAGTCTGTCGACAATGAGGGCTATTTGGGAGAATGTGATGAACAGGTATTTCAAGTTCATTAATTTTAATCACTGGTTATTTCAGCAATTATGTTTTTCAAGGGCTTGCATGTTATTTTTCTTTAAATGATCATCTTTTATCTATTACTTTAAATCATCTTCCAAATTTAATTAATTATTCGTTTAATTTGTAGTGGGTAAACAAAATAGTCACAGTTTTACAAGATTGTTTGTATGTATGATAAGCTAAACATTATTTCAAAACTTATGCCCACAGACCGATGATAATACCGACAGTCCAGCAGGTTCTAGACGATCATCTGAACAGGTATGTATTATGTTATTATATGATTGCTACAATGAATGCTAATATTTATTGCATAACATCATTAGAAATAATTTCAATGATATCTGTTAGTTCATTAGAATTAGAAGTTTGCTGAAAATTTATTAGATTAGTATAAATATTCCTGCAATTATGTTACTATATTAATTGAAATATTTTTAGCATTTAATAACATATTTGTTTTAGTAAAAAAAAAAAAAATAGATAAAAAACAATTCCTCTATTGAAATATCAGACAAGAATTCAAATAATGCACAAACTCATTAAGAAATGATAATAATTTCTAAAATGAAGTTCAGGATATGCCATTATTACCATCAAAAATACAGGTTCACCAAATTAATATTTTTTAAAGTTACTGGCAATTATAAATAAATGTATTTTAATTAATTTACAATAATATCATCTATTGATTTAGTATTAACGATTTAATTATTATAGTTATTAATTATTGAATATTTCTTGTAGCCATCTCTTCCAATTCCCAATGGTGATGGATTACCCACAGGATGGAGCATGCAATTAGCACCTAATGGACGAATGTTCTTTATCGATCATAATGAACGAGCTACAACATGGGTTGACCCAAGAACAGGAAGACCAAGCCCAATGCCTAATCACAATGTGCCTTCGGCTACTTCTCGAAGTGATTTAGATCAACTTGGACCACTTCCAGAAGGATGGGAAGAACGAGTACACACGGATGGCCGTATCTTCTTCATTGATCATAGTAATATTGATATCTTTTTAAATGCATACCTAACTTGATTGATTTATTTTAATACAATTTATTTTGGTACTTTATAGATACAAGAACAACACAGTGGGAAGATCCTCGAATGTCCAATCCTCAAATAGCTGGACCGGTATGTACCCTTTATTTTCAAAAGTCAATTTATTTGTAAATTGGTTTATATAAACGATCAGATATATCGAACAGATATTAATCTAAAGCTTCTTTAGCTTGGATAAAAGAATGTTGGATAGCATTTCAATAATCTAAATGCAAAAAGAAATTATAATTCAGCTTGAATATGGATTTTATCAATTGAAGAACGTATTTATTTTTTTTTTTATGAATGTTCAACTTTTATTTTAAAAAATTTTTCAATTAATTTAAAATGAGTAATAGCTTCTAATTGTTTTTGTAAACTTGTTTTTTGTGATGTTACACGTACTTTATCTTACAAATGAATGTTATTGATTATATTCGTGATTATAGTAGGTACATGAATTATTTCCAGTTCAATGCACTTAGAAATTATTTAAATTATTAAACACTATATTGTTACGCGTATTAATTCAATAATTCATTATGTACCAAAGAAATATTAGTTCTGTACATAAATTTTTCAGATACATGAAAGTTTGAAATATTAAAATTATAAAAGTTACGTTAAAGAAGTAAAATTTTTTTTTTTTTTTGAAACTTAGTTGTATAAGTTCATGTAGTACTTAGTTCAGCATTTATAAAATTAATTATTCTAATTTTTTCAGGCTGTACCTTACTCTAGAGATTATAAACTCAAATATGAATATTTGAAGTCACAATTAAGAAAACCCGTAAGTAAAGTCAATTAATAAAAATTATTTTAATAAGACTAATTGTTTACTTATGTTTGAATTAAAATATTTCAAAAATCTGAATTCATTCAAGTAATCGGTCAAACGTGTAAATGAAGTTCTAAACTAAAAAGGTATTTTGTTGATTTTCATAGAGCAATGTACCAAATAAATTCGAGATAAAGGTAGCTCGAAATAATATTCTGGAAGACTCATATCGTATCATCAGCTCTGTGAATCGAGTGGAAATACTAAAGACCAAACTGTGGGTTGAATTTGAGGGCGAAGTAGGGCTGGATTATGGTGGATTAGCCCGTGAATGGTTTTTCCTTTTATCAAAGGAAATGTTTAATCCATACTATGGCTTATTTGAATATTCTGCTATGTAAGGAAAATTTCATAAGATTACTATTACATTTGTGATTAACGAACTAATTGAATTTTATAATTCATGTAGGGATAATTATACGCTTCAAATAAACCCTTTTTCTGGTGTATGTAATGAAGAACATTTAAATTATTTCAAATTCATTGGACGTATTGCTGGTATGGCAGTTTATCACGGAAAACTTTTGGATGGTAAGTTTGTAACAGACAGTCAGCTAATTAATTTTTATTACATCTAATTTTTTAATATCATCTTATATTATTTTTTTAATAGCATTCTTTATAAGGCCATTTTATAAAATGATGTTATCAAAAACAATTGACCTTAAAGACATGGAAAGTGTAGATTCGGAGTATTATAATTCATTATTGTGGATAAAAGAAAACGATCCAACGGAATTAGAACTGACATTCTGTGTAGATGAAGAAAGTTTTGGACATACTTCTCAACGAGAATTAAAGCCTAATGGCGCCAACGTACCTGTGACAAATGAGAATAAAGATGAGTATATAAGTTTGGTAATACAATGGAGATTTGTATCAAGAGTCCAAGAACAAATGAATGCTTTCTTGGATGGTTTTAATGCCTTAGTTCCTCTAGCATTAGTCAAAATATTTGATGAAAATGAATTGGAACTTCTCATGTGTGGTATTCAACACATTGATGTTAAAGATTGGAAGAAAAATACATTGTATAAAGGGGATTACCATGCGAATCACATCACGGTACAATGGTTTTGGCGTGTTGTTTTATCATTCAATAATGAAATGAGAGCCAGATTATTACAATTTGTAACTGGTACATCGCGTGTGCCCATGAATGGATTTAAAGAGTTGTATGGTAGTAATGGACCGCAATTATTTACCATTGAAAAATGGGGAACACCTGAGAACTATCCACGTGCTCACACATGGTAAATTAAATTATTTTAAATACTTCTTTGCTGATTATTGTTACTGATAAAATTTTTTACTAACAATAAATTATTTTTAGCTTTAATCGGATTGATTTACCACCATATGAAAGTTACCAACAATTGAGGGATAAATTGATAAAAGCTATTGAAGGATCCCAAGGATTTGCTGGAGTGGACTAGCGCGAGATACCATTTTTGATGATTATTCCTGTAATATAATGTATATTCATGCATATAGATATTATTAACATATACATTAATGTAAAATCAGTAGGTTGATGCTCTAATTTTATTCTTAATATAAAATGAAAGTCACTACTTCTAAATATTACTAATGTGACAACACTGCTGTTATCATTGTGTAAGTACAAGAAGGTGTCTATCATTTAAATATTTTTTTTATTTAAAAATTTTGTGTATACTTGCACTCTTAAATATTTTCATGCCAATTGGAGAAGATTTTTTAAATTTAAAATTTTTGGTGATAAATCAGTGAGCTAATTAATTATAAGAATTATGATTTTTATTTTTTTGAAATTAAATTTAAAAAATAAAGTTGCTACCAAATTAAATAAATTCGAAAAAGATAACGAAATTATAAAAATTAACTTATCTGTACATATCTTTAACAAAAAAGAGCTGACTTTTAGAGTAACAATAAAAGTAGAATGTGTACTGTTACAGAATAACGTATTATATCGAGTGGCATGGAAAATATTTAATGTTTTTGTAACACAATTTTACATGCTTTTAATAGATAGATAATTGAAATTTATTAAATGGTCGAAACGATTTGAAGGTATTTTATTTATGCTTAAAAAAATTAAGGAGTGAAATCTTAACTGATATAAAAAAATCGTTATTTGTACATATAAATTTCAGAATGAGATGAATCTAAATTTAAAAGCAATTTTACAAACAAAAGAAGCAATTTATATTAAAAAATTATAACTAACTTTTTTCAAGTCACTTCTTGCTGGCTAATTGACATAAATTTAATAAAAACATGTATTATGTAAAATAAATAACACTGGTTATGTATTACCAATTCATGTTTTAGTATAAAATATATATTTTTTGAAATGTTATTAATATTTTAATAGTTATCGGGGATACTTTGGGACTGTAATAGAATTTTACATGATATTAATAGATTAATTATTTCAACATTACGTAATCAAGTGTATATTCAATTAATTAATTTTTTTGTGCAATATGAATTTGAGTTAAAAAATTCACGATATCAATTTAAATTGAATTTATACGTAAATGTTTATTATTTTCTTTAATTGTGGTAATATTCAATCATTGGGCCTTATACGAATACATGAGTCCCGTCCAGGTTAAGCAACAAAATGATTTATTCACTGAATTCATGGGCATGCAGAAAAGTAGATAGGTGAAATAATTACATGTATAAGCATTCTTATAGTTTTAAATGGTAAAAACAAATGTCTCAGTGTTCGATATTAAAAGGTCATTAAATTGCTTTCTGTATATTATTTAAAAGACTGACTGCAAGAATGTTTCAAAAACTATGAATTTTTTTCGGCATGTTTTGTTAAATTGATAAGTGAATTTTCAAGTTTTTCCTTAAGCATATGAAAACAGTATATCAACATTCCATATATTTACTTATTCTCCGAATTTAATAGAAACACAGATTCTTTAATATTTTTCACCTTTGCTTCAACAGAATAAAATAATATATTTATTACGATTATAAAATAGGTGTATAATATTTTAAATAATTTTCATTGTATAAGTTAAAAAAAATTTCAGTCAACGAAGTCAATCGAAGCCTTGAAGTGTTTTTATAATGTTCAATAAGAAAAATATTGCATTTATGAGATTCTTAATCAAAATACAATATGATGCATAAAATAATTATAAATTCAACAAAAAAAGTTGATCAATTCAAGATATTAGAAAAAGTTCAATAAACATAGGCTTGCACGACAAAAAACTATTTCTTAAAATGATTATTTGTATTATTTTAAAATTGATAAAATTAGAATATATTAAAATGAAAATTATGTATCAAATAATAAATAAATTATTTGATTTTTACTTAATAATGAAATGCTAAGGACGTCTGGCATTCCATTATTCCATGAATATATATTAATTTTTTAAATATAATTATAATTGTGTGTAAATAATATATGATAGAAGTGATTAACACATAGTTTTAACCAACTGAATTTGAAAACATAATTTTTAGTAATTAGTTTATTAATACATACCAATTATTGTCTTGCAATAATAAGATACTGCATATTTTATCTTATTAAATTAAAATACAAAAATACTGTAAGTTATAAATAAAAAATTTTAAGCATAAAATATCAATTGACATTAATTAAAAATTGTATCTTAATAAAGTAATTAAGAACTTTATAGTTGTTATATTTTATTATTCATATCATTCTAAAGTAAATGAGATTTTATATATAAAAATCATGGACAAGTATAAATTAGATATAACTATTTAATAATATAAATATGTATAAAATGAATAAAAAGTCTTGATTTGAATTTATTAAAAAATATCGCGCTTAAAGATGGCGTTGCGTGTGATTCTCAAATCCACCAGTAGGTGGTGAAAAATGCACGGCGATATCCGCAGACTCAAAAAAGACAGCTGAGAAGTAGGTAACATCACACATTGATTTGGAGTGTCGGAAAGCCTTGCGTATTTAGAATTTGATCATTTCGTGAATATTTATCGTGGCAAAGCGTAGTTACAGCGGACAAATGTGTGAAAATGTGTGCTGAGTGAGTGCAAAGAATTGTGGTGCGTACGTTTTCAGTGTTAATTGCCTATTAGTATGGTGATATAGAACAACGAAGCTGTTGGTTATGCGGTGCTTCTGGACTCGAACAGCCCTTGTTCAACCCTCATTTCACGACTTTCTCAAAGGAGGGAAGCCCTGTATGTTTCTACTGTGGAATTCCCTGCATTGCGGTGAGTTGTTTGCAAATATACAATAATAAATACACATATTTAATGATTTTAGTAAATTTTTTAATTACTCCAAGTTGTCTCGAGTTTTTCTCTTCTATTATGCATTATGTACTAAAGTTTCAAAGTTCATTAGCCTTCGTCGCGTGAATAATATAGGTTACAGTTTGATATCAGGCTTTTTTCCTTCTTTATTCTCATCCTTGTTCTTTTTATCCTGGGATTTTCTTTCCTGGCTTGTAATTAATCAAATTATTACTCAGCAAAGAAATGAAAAAGAAAATCCAACTTTTTTACAGACGTCTTTATACCAAACTCCTTTTTATTATTCTTCTCTTTCATTATCATATATAATGTCATCATGTATGGTATTATTATATTCCATTACATCATGGGGGTGTATAACTACTGTGGTTTGGCGAAATTTAGATTGTAGATACAAGGGACATATACGTCTCAGTTGCTACCCTTCTTGAGCTTATCCATTCATTCCAGTTGGCGTTAATACGTCGCATCTGCGAACCTCAAAGAACTCTCTCAATTGCACAATTGATGCCCTATTCTATGAAGTTTCTCTGGCATGATTTGCAAATAAAAGGACTTGTATATACTACTGTATTTCTTCTATAAGCTTATAAACAGATATACTTTGACTTCAAGATTATTTCAATTCACATTGTAGAGACTTATGTCTAATTGATAAATGTATATTTTATTTTTTGACATTCAATTTTGTCTGGTTGACTTTCAAGAGTAAATGCCAATGATGTATCATTCCTTAACGATTCCCCTGGTGACTATCTTAATTGACCTGTGAAATATAGAGAACATTTTCATTCGATCTTTATTGAATGAATTAACAATCAAAGAGAAAACGAGAAATTTATTAGTTCGCTGACCTCATTGACTCAATGTTCGGTTGGTGTGCCAGCGTGACGGGGAAACGAAAGACAGGGATAAATTAACTGCACTATGTATTTACGACGTGGTCCGACAACAATCGCGGCAAGTCACGAGATTGAAGAACGGGATCTCTCATTTATTGGAGATCGCTATGTGCGAGTCTAACCGAAATAATATCATTCACCAATCGATAGAAATTAACAGGAAAAAGCGTGAAGAACTTTAACAATACTTTATGTCACGAATCATGCTGTTATTTAGGGTGATTTGTTTCTATGTATTCACTTCACTGAGATATAGTTTAAAGGGAAAACGGTCTAATGATTCCACGAATAATAATATTGTCACCGGAAATGTTTTATTATTTTTTCATGATGGAGAATTGAAATTCGGAATAATTGAAAAGCTGGAATTAAGATAAAGGGGAGATGATTAATGAATGTTCGGGAGAATTATTTGTTTTTACTTAAAAGCCCGAGTGAATATTGAATTTATTTATGAATGGAGCAAATAGTTGTAGACAAAGTAAATTTTGGTTCTGTTAAATATTATTATATTTCATGAACTCCTGTTGTTTCATTTCAATTACAAAACCATCAATCAGTAAACACAAATAAAATATTAAGTTGTGATTCAAATTTTTTTTTTAATGAAAATCTATTTTGTGTTTTTAAGTGAAATTAGACAAACAATAGCTAAAATTGAATTTTAATAACATATTGTTTACTATGTTTGAATTTTTTTTTAATCAAAATATGTGAAAAATTTTTGTTGTTCATTTTTAAAATGTAATAAACAAAAACAATTGTGTCAGGCGTTTATAAAATAGCTTCAATTACTTTTAAAGTATTTTTGTTGACTAAACTTCTTTATTTGTTCATAATTTTTTTTTCATTGTTATTCATTTAAATGGAATATTTTTATTTAAAAAACTTTAACTCACACGTTGAATATATATCTATCTATATATATGATGTCAGTTATATTTATTGAAAAAAACTTGAATGGTGTTTGAAAATATATCGACTAAGAGTAATTTTTATATCCTCAATAACATCACTTATTGTGGTTTTATTTATATTTATTTACACCCGTTTTGTCAATTATCAGTTAACCGATGTACACTAAAACAATCACTTTCACGCTTCAATTATTACAAATTAAACCTCTAAAAAATACGATCATTTTAATTCCAGTGTACAAATCTATCCATCTTCTGTTCTATTTGATTTATTATTTATTTACAATTAGAGTTTTTTTATCTATTTTTTTTTTGTATTAATGACTTACAACAAAGTATTTTATAGAGTAATCAATGAATGATTAGTTTCTATCTTATAAATGATACACGTTCACATAAAAGGAACACCTGAAAGAAGTCATTGTTGATATTGTTGATACAATCATCTTTTGTTGTTTACAAAATTCATCTCCATCACATAGCGTTAGAGCAAACGACAATTTTCCTACTGCTGAGTGAATTTATTTTGTGTCATGACTAGCAATTTCTTCGTTGAACGGACTAAAAGGAAAACGAATAAGAAAAATTTTTTTTAACAAAGTATGTCGTATATATGATGCTATCAATGAACGTGCCTTTGTAATATTGAAATTCGCAAAGACGAGTTATTTCAACATTGGATCATAGTGAATTCATAAATTCTTTTAATTAAAATTATTTGTCATACGTGAGATATAACTACAATGGAATGAGATATTATTAGTTTTGTTTTAAGACAAAAATATTTTTCATTTGATTTAAATAAAAGTGTGAATTTGACTGAATATGCTAGTATTCACGATACAAAAAAATTATTTGAATGATCAAAGTAGTAATTGCTTTCATCCACTGACTAAAATTTAAATTAAAAAAAAATGTAATAATAAATGAAAAGATGTATTTTCACGAGAATTAATATCAAAATATGTATTGTAGATTTGTTTCAAAATGAATTTTCCAATAAAATAGGAGGCTTTTTTCGAGTATTTACTTTTCAATTTGGCTATACCATAACTGCAAGCATAAAGCAATTGCTCTAAATGTTGTGAATTTGACTTTTACACGCAGTCAACACGTTTGGGCTTGATTGGTTGTATCACCCTCACATATTTTGTTTGAAATAAATTGAAATAAAATGGCTATATAAACTCATGGTTATAAACCGAAAATAACTGCGCATGTGTATGAGTATGGTTTTTGACAGATTTATTAAAACATGGCTGGGAGAGAGGACACTTTCGCGCGACCGCAATGCGGATGCAATACCAACCAGAAGTCCATTTTTAAGATTAATTCGTCAGCATTACTATTGTCTTTATATCTTTCAGCGATTAAATATTTTAGACAGTTCTTCTTTATGGTCCTTCTTCTACTTCGTTCATCTATTCTATATAAATCTATCTAACTATAGTTTTTCTTTTTTAAACCTATTACCATTATCCGCTTCGACATTTATTTGACCAAGCGTCGTAAGGAAAATAGGACTTTGATTGGGATTGAAAGAATTTCAATCGCAGTCAAGCGAATACACTAGAGTGTCTCGATTCAATCCTTTTACTCGTCTGACTTTTTTTTTTATCGTAAATAACATTCATATCCTTTCATTGTAATTCTCAAATTCTCGTCTTCGAATGGAAAATTACAATGGTAGAATCATTTTTCATTGTCGTTTATGTTTCTAAAGAGTTGTTGAAGGAAAAATTTTTTATGAAAAATTGCTCGCTTATTTTAAATTGGAAGCTTTTAAGTTTGGTTTGATTCACTTGAGTTATAAAAACTTGAGCTTTAAAATTCCTTTAAAAAAATCTTCAATGCCATTTTTATTTATACTTCTACCAAAAAAAAAGTCCTCTTTTAAAGATTAAAATTATTTTTTATTAAAAAATTTTCGAGGCTTAATTATTATTATTAAATATTTTAATTTAATTTTGAAGTTAAATTTTTTTTTAAACTTCTCTCAGTGTATAGTTATCAATTAGATTGTAAAATATTTGTTATTTATATATTAAAATTTATTACCTTTTCATGTTTATTATAACGAAAAAACTTTTTTTTTATTCCTAATTATTTTCCAGCACTTTATTATTCTCAATTTACTGAAAATTTAGCAAATCATCTCATTAAAGAAACAATTTTAATAGAATGAAGAAAATAATTATGATATTTATTTTTTTACGCTTGAAGTATTAAAACTAACTAATTTAAATGTTTTGATAGCATTGTACTTTTAACTAATTAACGACTTTTATCTCGTTATGACCGTTTACTACATACAATAAATAAATAATAATTATTATAATCCTAACAATTTTTAATTAAGTAAAAATATTGAAAAAATATATCTAGTAACGTAAAGGCACCTAATAAAAACCGGCTAATTTTTTAGCTACCAATATTCAAGAAAATTATGAAAAAAGTTAAATTATGAAGCTTTTATTAAAATTCTCGTTCGATGGTAAAAAATGAAAGACAAAAAAAATTACATCTTTTTTTCGTAACTTTTTATAATTTTTATAATTTAGCGAGAAATTATTCATAAAAATCTAATAAATTACTTATAAAATTATGGAAAATTTTATTTCATTAATAATGAAATCAAAAATTAATTTTAATTAGCTTCATTTTATAAGGTATAAGTAATAATTTATTTAGCTTTTAAGAATTTGACTAATTTTTTCTCAAAACAATGAAAATGGTTTTTTTTTATTAAAAATGCGACTATTATTAAATTAATTACTGAATATTCAAGAACATTTATGTTCTTTAAATGTAAAATAGAGTTTAAAAGTAAAATGCAAAAAAATGTTAAAATTATTCACCAATTTATTTGGTTGCGAATCTAGCCTTTAAACTAAATTGAAATTTACGTTGAATCAATAGATTTCAGTAGTGTCACAAAGAAAAAAAAAATATATTCACGGGTTTATTGAGGTTTAAGTATTTTTAACTCGATTTGTACCTTTAAAAATGTGTTTTTTTTATACTATCTCTTTTCCACCTTTTTCTTTGTTCACCTAATATCCATCAAAAATTTTCTTCACATCTGAATGATTTTATGAGCCCCATAAAACTTATTCGTGGTTTAATAACTTTATAACTT